TAAAAGGTTGTGGAAATCTGGTTGCGCGCGCGGCGTTGCGACGCCGCGCCTGACCCTCACGACTGGCATCGTACTGTACATATTTGCTAGCACCCTACCTACCTCCGCACGCTGCCTGCCCGCTTGCCTACCCCCAAGCCCGACTGCCTACCTCTATACCTGCCTGCCTACCCCTGCAGCTGCCTGCCTACCTGCCTCCCTCCGCTCCTGCTTGCCTACCTCCTCACCTGCCTTCTTACCTACCTACCTACCTAATAGGAGCTTAATTGACGTTGATATCGTGCACCGCCAGTCTTCGATTTAGCCGTAGATTTGAGCGTACATTTGATACTAATTTAGGTTTCGACTTGGTGCAATTAGTCGACCTCTTGATGTCGGTTTGTGCTTCAATTTGGTGCTAATTTAACGCAATTACCTGATGGTTCAGGCATCAATTCAAGCGTCGATTTGACGCTATCAATATGGTGCTGTTCAGCAGTCTATAGCAGCGTCAGTACTAGCGTCAAAATTCAGAGGTAGGTCAATATGTATTCAGACATCGCTGCTGGTAGGAGGTAGGTGACGAAGTAGGCATCGCTGCTGGTAGTAAGTAGGTGTTGAGGTAGGTGTCTGGAGGAAGGTAGACAGATAGGCAGGAAGGCAGCAGGTAGGCAGCAGGTAGGCAGCTGCGCAGGCAGGTAAGCAAGTGGAGATCCTCGAAATGTCAAATCTGACGTTACTCGCTAGCGAGCGCAGGGCTAGCGCCGGTACTTAGGCAGATTCGCCAAAGTGGGTCACCTTTTGGGAGGCAGTGGTGCGTCAAGAGAGAGGTATCATATTTGGAATGCCGACTATGCGAGATGTTATATTTTGGATGCCTAATAGGCATTACAAGACGACCTATCAAATTTTGTATGCTTACTAGGTGCCAAAAGATTACATATCACCTTTTGGTGGCAGCGGGACAAGGTTTTGTGAGCAACAGACGAGGTTTTGGACGTGGAAGACGAATTTGGACTTTGAGCGCGCGGATTCGTCCTGGTGAAACCCGTTTTTTGCTGATGGATGCTAACACTATAGTAGTGATTCGTTGTTCCCTTTCTCTATATTTCATATTTGTTATAACTATAAATAACTGATCCAATATAATTAACCAAATAATAGTACTTGAAGGTTATAACTAGTATAATATGGAGTTTACCTTTTGTAGTTAAGTTGAATCTGTTAGACATTGTTTAAATCATAATAACAAATTATAGAGGAGACATTTAAAAGTTACCCAGAACCCTAACCTACAACAGGACTTCCTCAAAATCAATCCTTTACTCGTGAATATTTATCGAATAGGGAAAGGTTCTAACTATTCCTTTGCGTACTAATATTTGCTTTAGAATTCAATTTGCTGTCCGTGGTAATGGCTTTCCTATAATTTTCTTTGAGTAACAAATTATACTTGGTTCCTATCAAGTGCCAGTGTCCGTCCTTAATAATTCAATTGCATCAATTATTATTGAACAAGCAATATGTATTATATTTGTTGACAGCAGCAAACTAATTACACTTACTGTCGACAAAGTTACTAACAAACTATTTGTATGATATGGGACTTCCACCTTTCCCTCTTTAAACCCACCGACATTTTTAAAAACAATCAACAGAATTCAAAAGTATCAAGCTCAACTCCTAGAAATGCCTTTATCGATAATGAGATTGCGATACTACTCATATTCAATTATGTTATTGAATCAGGATTTCAACCATCAGCAAAAATGGGTTTCGACAGGATGGATCCGTGTGTCCAGATGTCCAAATTCGTTTTCCGCGCCCAAAAACTCATCTGTTGCTACCAATGCCTCGTACTGCTGCTGCTAAAATGTGACACGTCGTCTTTTGGCGCCTAGTAAACATACAAAATGTGAGATCTCGTCTTTTAACGCCTCGTAGGCGTCCAAAATATGACCTCTCGCCTTCTAACACCTAGTAGGCGTCCCAAATATTACATCTCGCCTCTTGACGCCCCACCGCCTCCCAAAACGCGACACACCGTGACGAATATGTGATATTCTGCCTAAGTCCTGGCGCTAGCCCTGACCTCGCTAGCAAATGACGTCAGATTTGACATCTCGAGGATCCCCACCTGCTTACCTACCTGCCTAGCTGCCTATCTTGCTCTCGACACCTACCTCAACCCCTACCTCCTACCAGCATCGATGCCTACCTCCTACCAGCAGCGATGCCTACTTATACACCAACCTCCTACCAGCAGCGATGCCTGGATACGTATTTACCTACCTCTGCACTTTGACGACTGTTCTGACACCACTACAAACTGCTGAACAACACCAAATTGACAGCGTCAAATCGACGCCTGAATTGATGCCTGAATCGTCAGGTAATTGTATTAAATTAACAGCAAATCGACGCTCAAACAGACATAAGACGTCGACTAATTGCACCAATTCGACACCTAAATCAGCATCAAATCTATGCTCAAATCGATGACAGATGGTGCACAAAATGAATGTCAATTAAACTCCTAATTAGTAGGTAGGAACGCAAGCAGGTAGAGGGGTAGGCAATTAAACAGGTAGGTAGTCAGGCAGACAGTACGCGCGGAGGTAGTAGGGCGCTAAGAAATATAATGATGTATATAGAATTGGATAGACAGATACACGAATATATTTGATAGTCTCGCGGAAACAATATCCTAGTCGATGTACCTTTTGCCGAGTAATCTCATTTTGTCAGGAAGAACTGGTATTGAAAGCGGTTAACCGAGCTAAATATACTAGTGTGGAGACGCCAAAAGACAAATTTACGTCTTAACCTGTCCCGACGCTGTTCGTTGACAAAGAGACGTGGGGCACTCATCACTGGAGGCACAGTTGTCGGTATGCAGGTAAGAAATCGCTTTGTGTCGTCTGGAGCGTCTGGGGTCTCTGGGGCGCTTAGCATCACAAGACGAGACTTCATGTGATTAATGATATTAAAATTGCGTGAAAGATTTGATCAATTCGGATACTATGAATTTTTATTTGTTTGTGACTTTTTTCTTATCCCCTAACTTCAAATGCATTTGAATGGGTTTCCAACTAACGGGACTTCAATAAACTATTTTGAATTTGCCAAATGAGTTGTTCACCAGTTGAATAGGAATTTTGCAAAAGCGTATATCAAAACCTCTATGATTATAATATACTACACTAAATTCAATTAACTCAAAAAAGATTTTTTTTATTCATGTAACAGTTTTACTCTTTACCGAATAATTCAGAAGTAGATATTTACTTGTAACAGTAGAATCAGAGAAGGAGGAAAGTATCATTATCCACCATTGAAATGAATACTAATTGATAACTGATTGCAAAATTTCTAATTCGAATAAAGATTTTTTATCGTAATGATTCTCGACTGAAATAATTTTTCACTGTCAGCGTGATCCGAGATTTCCAAACCTTACTGTTCGATTAGGAAAGTTATATTTCCATCAGCTGTTGTATTGAGCAAAACCAATATTTCAAGGAAAATTTATTAATAATACCTAAAACGTGATATCAGTATTCTCCAATTGCCAACTTGGCTGCAATACTGTATTGAAATACTATTCCGAGTCAAATAATACCATCAATCTTATAATATCTTTACCAATATACTTATTATTATATCTCAAATTGTCATTGGTAGCTGTCCGTCAAAATCTAAAACTTTTCGGTCAGATTTCGTAATTTTGGAGATAAATAATCCCTACGGTTTTGCTACAAATCAGTATCCTATTTTGAAGTGAACAATTTTGAGTCCCAAAACCCTGAGTCGGCACTGATATTTACTGATTTTGGCAATCTCCTGCAAATATCTTCTTATGCCAGCTGACAATGTCAACTTCCAAGTATGTTTAACAATCCCCTGAAATAAATTGCTGTAGTCCCCTATTGGTACATCTCCTCACCTATTCTAAAGTCCGCATTCCCAATACTAATGAAATGAATAAAGCAGAAGAAAACAATAGACAAGCGATTCTGCATACTGATATTCTTCTCTCCAATCCCGGACAGGTAACTCCTGAACCTTGCAAAACCACTAACTCAACCTTACCATACTATTGTTCTCTTTATACCCTGAAAAGCCTACCAGCTTGGAGGAGTAAACCTCGATTCAATTCTGTTTAGGATGAGCCACCCGACTCTAAACATGTCAAAACAAGAGTCTAATACTACTGTGGTCGTTACGAGTATGTCCCAATGACTAGATACCCTTGAGGCTTATCCCTTGGTCACCTAACTCAACCGTCATCACAATAGATCACTCGTTTTACTCAATGTTCTGCGACTTAGAACCGTGTTCTGTGATTTTTATAATATTTACCTTTCACGACCCAATCCTATTACTAACCTATCAGTACGACCCTCGGGTCATTATCAACCCTGGTTCCACCTACCCACCTGCCTACGTGTTCTGCTTACCTGCGCGCAACCTACCAGTGCTACCTCCCTACCTATCTACTAGTTCCACCTACCTACCTACCTCCCAGTTCTACCTACCTACGAGTTCTGCCTACAAGCTCACCACCTATTTGCTGTTCCTGCATGATTGATTACCCGACGCAATTGTGAGAGTGACCGGACCAAAGGTGGCTAAGCCCCGTATCCGCCGCCAGATAATTCTGGTCCACCACAAGAGACACAGCAACCCCCGAAGCCGTAACTGGGGCCGGAAGATTTCTACACGATTACGAACTCACTTTTGTGTTAGACGCAATTGCCCTTCAATGATTGGGCAGAGATGGCTAGAAAAATGACGAGTACGTAACGCCTGGAGTCGAGTGCCCGCTCAACCCTGAAGTGAACCTCAACGTTTCCACACTGACATATTGTATTAACCATGTACTGATTACAGAAAGGGCTCATTAAGTACCGACGAACAATAACAAAACAAAACAAAACAATTCCCGCCAAAAAAAGACCAGCTAATACAGCACCATGAACTCCCCTCCAATCATCCCGTCAAATTCCAACCTCACCTTATCACCTCTTTGGCAGCTTAGGCACCACCGCCCGCTCCTTCTCCGAAGTCTTCCTCGTCGTCTCCCCAACCTTCTTCACGGCTTTCTCCGAATTCTTCCTCTTCGTCTCCTCAACCTTCTTCGGCGCTTTCACCGTCGCCGCCACCACGCGCTCCACCCCAACCGTCAGCCTCTCTACTTCCTTCTTCTGCGTCTCACGCACTGACCCCGCCACGTCCATCCCCGCCACCGTGTCCGCCACCACCTTGATCCCCACCGCCTCTGCCTTCAGTCTCTCCGTCTCCGCATCAATCTTCATCTTCTCACTCCTCACCATCATCGCTGCAGCCTTCAGTCTGTCTGTCTCGGCTTTAATTCTGTCAGTATTACACCCCGCACCTGCGGTCAGCATTTCGCCGCGCGCAACCTCGGCGAGCGTCCCCGCGGCTTCGGCTGTCGCAACGAGCTGCAGAAGGGCTAACCTGCAGTGCTCTACGGGCAGTGGAGGCGACTGTTGGTGGTGTGGCCGAGCAGTGGGAGGATCTCTGTCCTAGTGGGGGTAAGGGTTAGCCGTGGTTGCGGTTATGGGAGTGGGGGGAAGGCGGATGTGGGGATTGGGAGGGAGGGGACATACGCTAGCGTCATTCTTGTATGAGAGGTTTGCAATCGTGGTGCGGAAGATGTGGTGTAGTGGTGGTGGTGGTGGTGGTGGGGGTGGTGTCTTGTGGCGTGGTTTCGGCGGTGAGGAAGTTTGACTTAGTTTGGATGTTAGAGGTTAGAGATGCACTTGTGATGTCACACCACCTCTGAACACGATCGCTATTTCATGCGGGCAAGAAGCCGCCAAGAAAACCGTTGTAAGGCATGCAGTAACAGTCTTGTTCATAGGTTTCACCTGGTTGGCGGCCTAGACCACTGGAGACTGCGACGGAAGGGGCTGACTAAGTGTATACGACATACCAAGTATTTATTTTTCTATCAGAAGCATCCATAAATGCTGCCTCGATCAATGAAACTCCCAACCCCTGTTCCTTACCAAAGAAGTTAGAGCATTCCAGACTATTGAACAGAACTATGGATATCACATTTCAAATAAAATCCACGAATCATAGTCCAAGAACTCATGATAGTTATAAACACCGCCGTAAAGATTGGGTAGCTGGACCACTCTGGATCGACCTATGGACCACACAACCCCGACTATTTATGAACCGGTCCGACTGTCTAGGTCGGCCGACTACTTCTTTATACCCCCAAGAAAAGCACTCAACGTCTCTTCACTTCTCCGGGCCTGTTCCCCCTTCGGCTTCGACTTCCCTTTCCTCGCCGACCTCTCCGCCCCCTCCCCTTCTTCATCTGTCGCAGCCCTAATCCTCTGCCTGAATTGCGCTACATCATCATCCCCCACATTTTCCATACCGCCATGCGCCGTCAGCGCCTCCACGTGCGCAACCTCCGCTAGCTGCGCCAGCACCTCGACGGTGGCACTCACATGGTCCATGACGGCTTTGCGCTCTTCCGGTGATAGCAGTTCGTGCTGGCCGGGGGAGGTGACGTGGCCCACTGTGCCGTTGAGGTGGGTCAGTAGGGTGATTATCTCGGACCTGGTGGGTGGTGTTAGTGCGGTGCGGTGCGGGAATGGGGGGGAAATGGGAGGGGAACCGTACGAAAGTGACATTTTTTTTGGGAGGGGGGTATTAGATGAGATGTGCGGAGCGGGAGAGAGGGATGTCGAGGTGGAGCTGGAGCTGGGGTAGGTGGAAAATGGAGGGAAGTATATATGAAGGGTTAGGTTGGAGGCCTGAATTACGCGCGGTTGCAACGCTTGCCGCGGAGGGGAGCTGACTAAGTGTGCTACATACAGCATGATACAGGGAGGAGTATTTATTTCTCTATTAGAAACATGCTCCAAAACAATAGCATCTCCGCCATAAACGCTGCCGCTATAAGACTATTCCATAATCCGCACCATAGACCTCCCCATGCACCACCGCCGCCCCGCCAACACCTTCCTCACCCCTCGTTCGGCTTAAATCCATTGTCTTCAACGCCCGTAGCTCCTCCGGTGCCCTGCTGCGCCTGGTACTCCCCCGCCGTCATCGCCTGGTACTCCCGCGCCGTCATCGCCTCCACAAGCGCCACCTCCGCGAGCTTCTCCAGCACGTGGACGCTGGCCTTCAGATGGTCCATGACGTCTTTGCGCTCTTCTGGTGATAGCAGTGTGTGCTGGTTGCCGGAGGCGACGTTGTTTACCGCGCTGTTGAGATGGTTTAGTAGGGTGAGTATCCCAGACCTAGTGGCGAGGTAGTGTGGTTAGTGGGGTGTAGTAATGGGGGAGGAGGGAGGGGAGTGAGCTGTACCCGAGGGACATTTTTCTTTCTTTTCTTTTTTTTTTTGGGGGGGGGTAGATGAGAGATGCGGGGTTGGGTGTGTGGGAGAGTGGGATGTGGATGTACCGTTAATTTTTGGGAAATCCACTATGTCCGCAACAGGAGGGGGTATGTCCGGACCAAAGAGAAAAAGGCTCGGCGCATATGCAGAGAGGTGCAGGTACGTGATATCATATCAATTATTCCCCGGATGCTAAAAACTCTATAGAATCGTCCTCATCATGAACTCTGTCTACATCTGCAAAATCCGAGGTTGAGGTTACAGGTAATTTCCAATCACCAATGACTAAATCTTTGAAGCCTTTGATGGCTAACTGATCATCTTCGCTACCATCAGCAGCAAGTGAAAGTCCCACTTTCTGGAACACCCTTCTAATTAATTCATCTTTTTCAACCGCAAATAGGTACAAAGCGTCCCCAACAGTCCATGTAGTTAATATCCGCCTATGACTAACTGTCCATTTCTCAAATGTCTCGACACTTTCACAATCCCTAATTACTTCATCTGTCAAGCTACATACATATTCTTTTAAGGGCTTGTTAATAGAAACATCTAATGGCTGTACCAGGCTAGTATAGCCAGCGGGAATAAGACTAGGTTTGATCTGATTTAAACGGAGGAGGTCTAAAACAGCGGGTGTTTTATGTGATTTGCATAGGTCCATGGCAAAGAGAGAGGGTTTTCCATTTAGTGCCGGTAGTAGATACTTTTCGATATATTTGATGAATAGAATTTCAGTCACATACGCAGTGTCGTTGAACTCCACAATCACTCCAGGGTGATATTTTTCTGGCTCTGACCCCAACCGCTTGTCCTGTCCATGAAAGATAATCATAGGAGGTATCCTATTAAATCCGTCTGCAAAAATGCATAACACTAAACTAGCCTGACATTGATCCCAACCGCTTCTTGACTCTTTTACCCAGACTGTCTTTTCTCCGATATTATTGTACGTGTGGCCAGCAAGGTATTCAAATGGTATAGGTGTCTCATACAAATTGCAGATATTGGATAGGTCATAACGGTTTTGAGGTCTATTGATGTGAAATCCATCACCAATCTGAGCTCGTTGAGAATAGAAAACATAGGGATCAAACTGTGAGTTCCGACAGTTGAACCGAAGCCAACTGATTACAAGATTACGGTAGTCCTCTGGCACCTTCTGGGCAGTCTTTGTTATGCATCGGAGACTGATTCTGTATCAGCCAAGAAACCCGGAAAACCATCCATTCGAGAATCGGAAAACAGAGGTTTCCGCCTCAGGAAACAAATCCTTGAATATATCCTCAGCATGTACCCTGAACCATCCTCGGCGTACAGCTTGCCCTTTTTCTCCCCGCTCTAAAAACTGTCTATACAAGCGGGTCTCAAGATCAGGCCATCTGCAAGGGGTAAAGGTTCGAAGAGTACGGACAGAACTGAATTTTGCAAGTGATTCTATTGTATCCTGTTTCCGTACCCAGTCGCTTAGTGTCCGCTGGGGAACGCCAAATAAATCTGATGCTTCTATCTGTGTTGGGCAGCGGAAATCACCCGTCCCAACTTTCAATCCTTTCACAACTATTTCTACTGGTATGCGGTGATGATACAAGAAGACCAACGCTCGTACTTTCTGCTGCTGGCTCCAGGTACGTTGCTGGAACCGAATAGGAATGATATCGCTTGGCTTGAGGATACGGTCTCTGATCAACTTGGGTTTTGGCCCTGGTCGGGTACGACTGGCATTTTGTTGACTCGTTGAAAGTTGGGTTAACATCGTTGACGGTTCATACATTCACAATTGGTTGCTACAGGTGCCCGCCCTCAACTGCAGCCCTTTTCATTGGTTCGGACATACCCTCTCCTGATGCGGAGATAGTGGATTTCCCAAAAATTAACGGTAGGGTGGCAGAGAAGGGATCGAAGTGTGAAGGTTGTAAGAAAGAGGAAGAAAGGGTTAGGTTTGAGGCCTAAATTACGCGGGGTTGTGGTGTTTCATGATTGGCGGTTCGCGCTTCAGCCGCAAAGATTTACACCTCGCTCTAAGAAACGCCAAGGTGCTGGCAATTCTCGTTTCTTATAACAAAATCTTATAGCAACTAAGATTTTGTAAAGCTGTTAGCGTGTACCCTATGGCGCGTTTCTTACAGCAAGGTTTTCTTATAGCGGCGCTTCTTATCCCATGAACCGTAGAAGCCTGAGGTTCCAATTGGGTACTTTGCAACTCTAACCTCGATAAAACACAAAAACGATATAATCCAGCCCTGTTCACTAATAACAAAGAAGCGGGAAAGTTTATCAACCGATCCCAATAAGAGCTCCTAATATAGTACTCACGAAGCTGGTGTTGCTGTGAATTTAAGAAAGGTCACTTTATTTCAAGTGGGACCCAATCGGGTCCTTAACTCGGTTGCTACGGTTGATGGGATAGCGAGGTGTCGCTGTAGTACGTAGCTACTAGGGGTGTGCCACCTCGCACCGCGAGTTGTTAGATTATGAGTATCATGATTAGGTAAATATACAATGTATATGTAGAGGCAACTCCTTCCACCCCCCCTCTCTTCCTTTTCCAATCCCCAATCCATCCTTTCCACCTCCCCCCAGCTTCCCTCTCCCACCTCCCCCCTCCCGCTCTACCTCCCCTTCCAGCTCCTCCTCCCACAAACCGTTCACCTCGTCTACCACCTCCTACTCCCAGTCAGATCATATCATATCACTATTTAATTATACAGAGCTTTTTAATTTAATTGTACAAAGATAAACGCTCGGCGGTGCAATCCCGTGCCCGGGCGTTCGCGGTTTCATGCTCAAAGATTGATGTATCGTGCTTACTAAACACCATGTCGGTGTCGACCAATCAGACTGCAACAATCTAAGAAAATCGGTTTTTTTTTTTTTTTTTTTAAATCATATAAATTGTTTCTAGATACAATTACTGCATGCAGTCATAGACTATGGCATAAGGACCCATCCCCAATGCCAGGTCCCTGTTATAGTAACTATGGTATGCTACCAACCGCTCTCCTGTTACAAGGTTGATGACTAAGGAACCCCCGCCTAAGAAAAAGGGAAAAAAGTTCCGGATAACACAAAAGAAAAGAGTAACCAAAGAAAACATGCATCTTGCAACCCCAACTGTAATGACTATGGTCTGCCATCAACCGCACATCCACCTCAAAGGCAGACGATAAGGGTGAGTAGTTGAATACCTCGTGAGAGCGTAGAGGGTGGGTCCGTCAATGAAGAGGGAATCCAGGAGGGTGGCTGGTGCTGGTGGTCTTTAAGAGGTGACCTTCGAGCTCGATATCCAAAAGGAGGAGATTTTGACTTGCCTTGGCAAATGAAGCCAAAGCAGAGTCTGTAGTGAGGAGTGACCCCGCACTTCACGAACTCTTGGCGGAGTTGAGAAGGGAGTTGACAAGGACAAGAGGGATGTCTAAGAAAATCGTTAATCCAGTACATAACAGATAATAGATAGACTGTGAGTGCCCTGAACATACACAGCACGAGGACCATTTTGACTCATTTCTTAAGTATATAAACCACCACATAACGATCAACCAAACCTCACCCCCGGAATAGACGCCGCCAAGCCAAGAACCCCCATCCCCGCTCAATCAGACGAATCAGAAGAAAGAGAAGAGAGTCCCGCGGCCACCGGTACCTTCTGCCTCGCATTGAACGTAGAAACACTAGGCTTTTTCTTCGCCACTGCAACCACCTCTCCCTTCTCCACCGGGGCAACAACCTGCTTCGTCGCGGTAACTACCTTCCCCTTCTCCGCCTCGGCAACTCCCTTACCCTTCTCCGCCGCGGGAACATCCTCCTCCCCTTTCGCAGTCGTCTCCGCCACAGGGCCTCCTCGCGGCCCATCCATATGCAGCGCGGAGTCGGCGAGCTTGGCCAGCAGGTCGACGCTGGCCTTGAGTTGTTGCATAACGGCCTTGCGCTCGTCGGTGGAGAGGGGGGTGTGCTGGTCCGGCGTGGTGATACGGCTCAGCACGCCGGTGAGGTGGTTTAGTTGGAGGAGTATCTCGGAGCTGGGTGGGGTTAGTTAGTTGTGGTTGTGGTTGTGGTTGTGGTTGTGGGGGGGGGGGGGGTGAGGGGGTGGGGGGAGGTACCTGAGCGTCATTTTGGTGTGGTTGTGCGGTGGGCTGTTAGATGGGTTGTGTGTTCCAGGGTAGGTGGAGAAGGGAAGGTTGGTGAAGGAAAAAGCAAGCGTTAGGTGGGGGGCCGCAATTACGCGGGGTTGCAACGTTCACCCATGACTAGCGCTTCAACCGCGAAGGTTTCACTACCTAACTAGACGGGATATCTACTACTACAGCGGCGCAAAACATATAAAATAAGTATAACCATTTGCATTCATCTCTTAAGTATAATATACCTTATCCCTAAACCCCTTAGGCCGACATGACGAGCAACTAAGCCCCACACCCAGAGGCGTTCATCAAGGGTAATGAAACACGATCCCCGCCGTCGTCTTTCTTGCCGCAACCTCCTCCTCCTCCTCCTTCTTCTTAGTCGTCTCCGCCGCCGCACCCTCCTCACCTTTCTCAGTCGTCTCCGCTACAGCGCCTCCTCGCGACGCAGCATCTATACGCACAGCCTCGGCGAGCGACGCTAGCACCTCGACGCTGGCTTTGAGGTGTTCCATAGCGGCTTTGCGCTCGTCGGTGGACAGGACAGCGTGCTGGCCCGGCGAGGTGACGTTGTTCATCGAGTTGGTGAGGTGGTTGAGTAGCACGACTATCTCGGAGCTGGGCGGCGGTTAGTTGCGGTAGTGGTTATGGGAGGTAGGGATTTGGGGGCGGGGGAATACCTGAGGGTCATTGTGGCCGGTGTTGTGCGGAGGTTAGTGTGGGGTGGGGTGGGCTGCGGGGTGGGTTGCGGGTAGGAAGGAAGAGCGCAGGTGTGGAGAAGGAAAAGGCAGGGGTTAGGGTTGAGGCCTGAATTACGCGGGGTTGCATTGATGATTGGCGCATCACGCTTCAGCCGCAAAGGTTTGACTACCTAAGTAGACGAGATATGTAGTAGTAGCTTAGTCTACAATGTCCCTAAACATATACAATAGGCAGGCCTGTTTTCACTCATATCCCTTCTATATAACACAATCCTTAAAGGTCTTCGGCCACAAACCCCTGCCCCCGCCATAAACGCCACCAAGGCAACAACTCCAATGCACCACCTGTCACCGATCACCCCCCGACCAAACCCCCAACAGCCCTCAAGCGTCCTCCACATCCATCAGCTTCAACACTCCATCCGCGTCAAACCCCCACCGCTTCCCCCGCCCACCCACACTCTTCACCGCACCCGTCTCCGCAGCAGTAACCGTCTCCTCCATCCCCGCCGCCGTCTTCGCCGGGCAATACCCCTCCCCCTTCCCCTCCCCTTTCTAGGTCATCTCCGCCGCGGCACACCCCTCCCCCTTCTTCCGATCTACTTCCGTACACACGGCCTCGGCGAGCCGAGCTGCGGCTTCTGCTGTCACCAGGAGCGTCTGCAGCGCGGTGCTGCGCTCGGACTCGGTCATGGCGCTGAGCTGCGCGGGCGAGAGGATGTAGGTCAGCGCGTCGAGGTTGCGGTAGAGGACGTTGGTAGTTTCGGTGCTGGGAGTGTTAGTGGTGCTCGAATGAGGGAGAGGAGGGCGCATACCCGAGTGACATGATTGGGGATTGTTGTTGTGGTGGTGGTGGTGATGGGGGTGGGGGTATGTGGAATGGATGGAAAGGATGGTCAGATAACGGGCTTGGAGTTGGAAGGTTGGAAGAAGGAATGGGTCGAGTTGGGGCCTGGCTTGCGCCTCAGTCGCGCGCCAGGCTGACTTACCAACCAGGCGCCTCCAGGCTGCTGATTGGTCGGATAAAGGAGACCTGCAGGTCTACAGTAACCTTTAATCCGGAGAAAACAGAAGGCAGATATATATATACATACCTAAGCGCATTGAAACTTCACTGTCTCGCCCGCATTACACTACTAGTAGTATCACTGCGACCAATCACCTACTCCCTCGATCGCAGTCCACATGACGCCAGCGAGTGATAGTGTATGACGCACCTCCGGTACCGCTCGACCCACCGGATGATGCCGTAAGGTTCATCGCTCGGGCTTTTGCAGGTCTGGTATAGCACCTTTGCGGCATTGTATGCGAAGTTTGGAACTGTAGACTGGCTGCAAAGGCCTCGTGCGTTTCTGATACGGCGTTTCAGGCGTGGGTTATAAATAGTCTTTCCTCGCTAGTGGATGTTCACATCGGTTGGAATAGTTCCACGATGTTCTACTGGCGTCTCTGCCGGTGTCCTAGAGATTGACCCGGGCGGTGAGCAGTTTCGGTGTTTGCGGGACCCATGTTACACTCGCGCGCCTCGTGGTGCAAAGGGATCTTGTTTGGGCTCTAGGCTTCTGTGTGTTTTTCTTTGAACTCGGGGGTGTGATTACGTTGTTTATCGTAAACCCTTCGCACGCTTAAACTAAGCCCTCCACCGGGTAAAGTAAACAATTACCCAAGGAGTTTAATTATTCCCGGCCCCCTCGCAGATTCAAATGCGTGATTTCTCTCTGTTCACGGAATTCGCTACTGCGGGAGTAACGCCGACCGCCGCCCAGACTATCGCACCGAATTCCGCGCTGCACATAGAAAACAATTCTCCCCGCCTCCGCTGATGACGAATAAAACTCAGGATGCGGCGCGCACTGTTTGGAAGTAGCAGGTTGTGGCACCCGTAACCCCTCGTCACCATGGCAACACGTACCTAACAGTAACCGTGCCATAATAATATGGTCTGTAAATGGCACTACAGTTTGATAAAAGCCGTATCGATGCGATGCCATGGCAATACGGCCTGATTCAACATACCGAATCAAAAATCTAGCGGAGAGAAGCCGCACCACAACAGTCCCCTCTAACAAGCCTTCCTCCAGAAAAACCGTGCTTCCATGCAAATACCCTTCTATTAATCTCTTATATATATATACATAATCCCCCGTCCCCAAACCCCAAACACCTAGCCCAAAAAACAAGCAAACAAACACCACCCCCGCCATAAACGCCGCCAAGCCAAGAACACCACCCCCGGTGACCGCAGCCCGACCAAAACATCCAACACATCCGTCTCTGCTTAGCCCTCAATAAGTCTCCCCACCTATCACCACTATCTCCTTCGAGTCCCTCGCCGCCCGCCTTCCTAGCCAAAGTAGACTCCTCCTCTTTGTCCCTACCTCTACTATAGCATCCGCCTCCCCCTCCCCGCCCAGCACCACCGTCCCTCCCTCCGTATCCCTCGCCACCTTCCGCGGCCACAGCACAACTTCCTCCGTCTCCTCCGCAGCACCCCTAACCTCCTTCTCAGGCGTCTCCGCCGCGGCACCCCTAATCTCCTTCTCGGGTCTCTCCGCCGCAGCACCACTCTTCCCCTCCTCCTTAGTCGTCTCTGCCGCAGCACCCCTAACCTCCTCCTCACTGGTCTCCACCGGGCCACCCCCCTTCTCCTCCTCCTCCTCGGTGATCTTCGCCGCGCCACCTCCCTCACGCTCCCCCTCCCCCTCCCCCTCCTCCGTCGTCTCCGCCACAGCGCCTCCCGGCGATGCATCTATAAACACGGCCTCGGCGAGCCGAGACGCCGCTTTGGCCGTGACGAGGAGCGTCCGTAGCGCAGTACTGCGCTCGGACTCGGTCATGGCGCTGAGCTGCTCAGGGGAGAGGATGTAGGTGAGGGCGTCGAGGTTGCGGTAGAGGACGTTGGTGGTTTCGGTTCTGGGGGTGTTAGTGGTGCTGTGCGCGTAGGGGGATGGGGGGAGGTAGGAGGGGAGGTAGAAGGGGAGGGGGGGGGTTACCCGAGTGTCATGGTTGTGGTGGTTGTGGTGGCTGTGACCAGGGGTTTATGGGGTGGTTCGCGGAATGACGTGCGAAGTGAGGAGGTGAAACCGGAGAATGGAACGGCGGTGGAGAGCTGGGGAGGACGACGGATGGATGGGAAGAAGGGTTGGGACGGGAGTGTGTCGAGGTTGGAGGCCTAACTTGGGGGTCAGCCGCGCGGCTGACTAAGTGGGCGCTTTCGCGCTATTGGTGCCCGGATGCAAGGGACACGAGCGTGATGATCACCTAAGTAGCCGCTGTAGCGTCTGTGCGGGTTTGTTACCTACACAAGAAAGAAGGTAGATGCCAAAGTGTACTCTGAGTTCCAGGTGTCATACGTTGGCGAATAACATACTTTATCAGGACGTGAGTAATACAATAGTGTGGCCTATTAACTAGTGTCAAACAGGAACAGCAACATTTATTGCAAGTAAACAGTTAACTCCTCACTATGGCAGATGGTTTTTCTTAAGTAAAGCCGAGAGTTGAACTTATCATTTAGCGTAGAAATAGGTATGCCAAATTCTAATGATAGCACTATCCAGGATTTTTTAAGTTTTGCCTTCTTTGTCAGTGCCCTGTGAATGCGATCCTTCCTCTCTACCTGGTATTGAACACTCAAATCACGTTTCTTAACCCTAACCATCGTGAGGAATCAAAAGGTTGTGGTTCGTATGGTACGGCGTTTGCAAGCTGGGATTCTTTCAAGATGATGGGCAGCTTAGTCATCCGACTACACTGGATTTCCGGCTCCGCCGTGTTCTACGTCATCCTAAGCGTTAACCCAACCCTAACCCTCTCTGTAGCCAGGCGCCTCAGTTACCTCCTTTAAGTTGTTTACGAACGCCACACGCCACAACATATGATGACAAAGGTTCTTGGACGCGGGGTAAAGCCTCAGCCGTTCAGCCTCGTCATTCCACAGTTCCTCATCGCCAAATCACCCTAATTAACAGACCGAACTCCGCAAAGCCTTTATGATACCGCTATAACTCGAGAAGTTGGCTGTGCATATGAGATCAAAATTACTATAAACGGACCTGATCTACGCCCTTCAACCAATCGTTAAGGAGATAATCCCTGGCCGGAGATAGCGAGTTTTTGCGGTACTCGGTGGGCTTTGTTGACTAGAGTAGGGCCTCGCCGCGGAGACGTACATCCAGGGGCGGTATCGCCATGGAAGTCCTTACCGTCATCTCCATATTAGCCCCCATATTTGGTTTAGTGGGCGTTGTAACTTACATTGCTCAGTCCACGCTCAATACTATGCTTCGGAAATACCCAGCTCTGCTAGAGAAAGTTTGTCAAGATATTGATGCATTCCCCCATTTGTTGGAAAGGATTGGTGAGATTCTGCAAGAGGATGGGATGATGTCTCTCACAGCTCTTACTACCATACGAAGGGACGCAGAGGGAGTCTACTACAGAGTGAGGAGGGAACTATCTCATATGCACCGTCATGAGCAGAAATCGGTGCTGGAATACATGGAGCGGTTAAAGGGGTATGAGGCCCTTCAGAATATAGCCACTCAGTTACAAGAACAAAGGAACTCATTGAAACTGATCCTTGTACTTATTCCAAGGTATATATGCATTCGTTCCACTCCTGCCTTCCCCGACTACCAAGGAGGCACAGTATTTGAAATAGGTGGGGAGAAGCCTCGGCTAGATTTACTGACTTAATACTCACCCAGGCCTCAAGTCGCACCCGAAGGTAGTGGAGGAAACACAGAGGAACGAATCTCATCCCCAGATATGGCAGCTTTCTCTTCCGAAGCTAAGCGCCACCACCTCGAGACAATCATTTCTCCTGATGGCAAATCTGTTGTCCATACGCTCACCAACTCCTACCCCAACCTCACCACCGCCACCGCCGAGTGGGAAGACTCTCGTCCCGTGGGCAGTGGCGCTAATGGCACTCTGGTGATGCTTCAGTCAGGACCCTCTCGGAATCTCCGTGCTGTTAAACGAGTTTTCGGACATGCTGCCATATGCGCCAAAGAGATCAATGTCCTGTCGACGGTTTCAGATGTAAGATAACGTCCTCATCTTCTCACGATTACAATTTTCCTAATTTTGCCTTAATCTAGAGCCAAGATCTCTTCGTTCAATTCCTCGGCTGGTATAGCAATCGGGAATTCACCTATATTGTGATGGAGTTCGTTGAGTGTGGAGACCTTAGTACATTCATCGAATCACAGGGGGGTTCGCCAGTGCTTGAGGGGACAAGTCGAGAGATCACGCGGCAGATCTTGAATGGGATTAAAGTGCTACACGGGAGGCAAATCTGCCACCGGGATCTGAAGCCGCAGGTATGGATATATATTATACTCTTATCGTTGGTTGTTCTGTGTTGACATAAGGATGATGGCTAGAACATTCTTGTGGTCACCCTTGATCCCATCCATGTCAAGATAACAGATTTTGGTGTGTCCAAACGAATGGTGAACACACAGCTACGGACTAGGGTCGGTACTGTTGGATACACCGCACCTGAGGTGCTTGGGATATTGCCGGTGTCAACCCATGATAACAGCTATGGATCTTCGGTGGACTTATGGGCCATGGGATGCATTATATACGAGTTGTTCACGTTACGGAGACCGTTTGATACGGCCGCGAGGAACGAGCCAAGAAGTGACATGTTGTCAGGGGTTCTTGCTCAGATCTCAACGGAAGTAGATATGCCATCGTTTTACAGCTTCTGTCTTGGTGGGGACACGCATATTCTTGAGGTGTTGAGGCAGTCAGGGGTGAGTGTGGACGCCGTGGGTGTGGTGGAGGCCCTTCTGAGACGAGATCCATCCTCAAGATTATCGGCGTCGAAGGCTTTGGAGTTACCATGGTTTGCAAACCCAGGGCAATCAAGGGAGTGACACGCGTTCGAGTCGCCTGTACGCACCCCAGGGCGCGTTATAGTGGACCAAATTAGACCGGTGGTCTTAAGACGCAGCCTTTCTATCATCAGGTCAAATGGGATAGCTTCGAACAGTACCACAACGGGTCGAGGAAATCCTTAGATACGATAAGAGAGTAAGAGGGCGGCAGCAAGTGTGATTACAAGACATTGTGGGGATGAACAGTGGAATGTTTGATGGGAGGTTATCTAGTTAAAGTCTGTTGATGTCAGCCCGCAATGTGTCAGATTTAAAGAAGGATTGGAACAATATATGTAAGATTATTCGAGTGAGTTGTGGTTTTTGATTCCCAAATAGACTTTCATTCTTTATCACTTGTTGTTTTCCGCCCTTTTATTAGCGTAGTTCATTTGTGGTTTAATCCCTACCATTTGTTGAAGGTTAACTGCTCGATCGACCTGCATTTATAAAAAAGCAGGCGTTCGTTTCTCCACAATTTCCGCACATGATGCATGTTGGTTTTGATCTTTTGTATTACAAACAGATACCTAGTCCATTGATGAACACTTCTTATCCAGGAACCTTTGTTATGGCGGCCTCCCGGAAGGTTCCCCCACGCACTGAAGGGTTCTTGAAATCCAGGCGTTGCTTAGTGGCTACCCAACTGGAGAACACATCTACATATTCTGATGGTTCTGGTTTAATATTAGCGAACACCAGCGATTGATTGACATTGAACTTTTCCTTTAACATTGTAATCATCTTTCGCATGGCATGATAGTGACTTCTTCATAATAGGGAATCCCCGACATACGTCATCAGGAGATAGAGTACAGACCAGACGCTAGTTATTAAATCTAAAACCAATTCTGGGTTGCTGGTGGTTCCAGAACGGCGTCCGCTAATGGTGAACATCGGTGTAATATTCCTCTACGGGCTACTGGTGAACTCCCAGGTTTCATGATCAGTCTAGTCGATAATTGAACGTTCTTGGAAGGTGGACATCGTGAAACAATGTTTCTGATAATGGGTGTTTCTTTGACGACTAGTACTACCCTATAAATGGATCATCTGAGGCTGTAAATGAATCACTGGTGTGATTTGCCTGCAAGGTCCCCGCGAGTAGATCAATTGATCGTTCCTTCGCACCTGTGAGTAATATGCCCATCGATTCATTTACATTTTTAGTAAAGAGAGTTATTATGAAACCGTGTGAACGTAAGACACAACCCTAGCCCTATGCCGAGAAGCATGATGACTAATATATTTATACACGATGCGCACACTCTTAAAGGTGACACGACGGCAAATGGATGTGGCTGCATTATGGACTCATAGGGCAACCTGAGGGCTCATTTCTAGCATCACTGCCACAACTCGATCAGGTTTGCTTTTCGGGGGGTATAAATGGGTATAATACTGTTCCACTTTGTTCAGTCTTGGCGCTTTTTACATACAAAAACAGCAATTTTCAATCGCTGATAACTTCAAATTTATGACCATAGATATTAAAAATCTGGCAAAATAGAACTAAAGTTCATCACTATTTCTATAATTTGGCGCATTTTTGATATCTATCATGGTCATAAAGTTATCGGTGATCGACTTTCTGCTACTTTTGATTACCTTTAAGAGTGGGCGCACTATATCTACAGTGCGGGGTAAGGTTGTTAGGTTTTCCCCATAATATCCCCTACTTTTCGCTAAACCGTCCTGATCAAGGAACGGATTTCCCGATAGCCTATCTATATACAAGCGGGACTCGCTAATCAAAATACCAGGGAACCATGGATCTTATAGGTATCGCCGCCACTATCATTGGGCTAACACAAGTAACTTATGAAGCCCTCTCCAACGCCGCCCGTTACCATGGATCACTATCCAAAACTAAGAGAGCTATCGCTCTGGAAATGCACCTGTTACAAGAAGCGCGCACCTTGATGCCTATGCTCGAGAGGGTCGAGAAGATTCTAAGCGAGGATCGTGAGGGACCTCCCGGGAGGCACTCACCAACGTATATTACCCCTCTGGTTCAGGTTTTTGATTCAACAACGACTACTCTCACCGAGTTGTCAGAATTGATGCGCGGTTTGAACCACCGCCACGGGCTTAGCTTTCGGCAGCGTTTCGCATTGTCAAAAACAGAGAATACGCTCTCTGATATCGCTGCGCGTTTGAAGGAACACAAGTCGTTCTTAGATGTGATATTACTGCTTCTTCCAAGGTATGTACCCCGCCATCCTCTTACTAGACTTCACTCTCGATAATACTCAAACTATATCCGAAAGTTGTTGACCTAACTTAGGAGCAAGATTAAAGTTTATGAGTACTAACACAACACAGCGAAAGCCAGAGTGCGCAAAGTACCAACAACCAACTTCAAACTGTGACGCCTACCACCTCAACCCCCACCACGGCTAGTTTCTCAGCTGCGTCTGGACGGTGCCGCCTCGGCGCAAGCACCTCTCCCAACGGGACTTCTGTTGATCACGTTTCCCCCGCCTCACATGACATTCCCCCTACCCCCGGGTGGACTGACGTACGCCTTATTGGTAGCGGAGCCAATGGCACTGTAACTCTTCAGTCAGGACCGTCCGGGCGTCTCCGCGCTCTCAAACGTGTCGTGGGCCCTGCTGAAATCTACTCTAAGGAGATCGATGCTCTTTGCAGGGTTTCAGATGTAAAGTAACCGCCACGTTCTGTAATGATGAATCTAACTTTACTTGCGTGTAGCGACGAGACCTGTTTGTTGAGTTCTTTGGCTGGTATGCCGGTGGTGGGTTTCTATATATCGCAATGGAGTTCGTTGAGAACGGGGATCTAAGTACCTTGATTCAGTTGAATCAGTCGTCACCATTACTGGAGGACACCTGTCGCGAGATCACACGACAGACCTTGGAGGGGCTCAGGGTGTTACATGAAAGACATATCTGCCATCGTGATCTGAAGCCACAGGTGAGCACATATATCATATTACTCTTATTGGTCAATATGTTAATATGATGATTACGGCAAGAATATTCTTGTCGCCAGGCTTGACCCTATCCATGTCAAAATAGCAGATTTCGGTGTATCTAAATGTCTGGAGAACACAGAATTCCGTACTAGAGTCGGGACTAGTGGATACATCGCGCCGGAGCTACTAGGAATGTGGGCGCATTTAGGGAGGGGTGGTCTTTTTGGGTACGCCGCGGACCTTTGGTCCATGGGATGCATAATATACGAGATTATCTCTTGCAAAAAACCCTTCGAGATGGCGGCGCCAACAACCTCGGTGTGCTCTGGGAGTGTTGCCAATTTCTCGGGGCTAACAGATCTCCTTTCACTCCTTCGGTTCTGCAAAGGTGAAACCCCACATCCTGCCGAGACACTTCAGCAGTGTGGGGCAAGTATACAGGCCATGGATGTGGTTAAGGCTCTTTTAAGAGCAGATCCATCCTCAAGATTATCAGCGTCGGAGGCTTTAGAGTTGCCGTGGTTTGTGGGCGCAGAGCAACACAGGTCCGTGCCAAACACTGAAACTGTAAAGACCTCCAGGCGATTAACTATGGATACATCTACAACGGAAGCTTCAGAAAACAGTCCACCCAACTCTAGCTCGGGTGGAACAGCTTCGAACAGCACTGCATAAGTTTTAGTCAACACTTACTACCATCTAACGAGTTTCCAAGTGGCAAGAGCGAAGAAGGCAGTGGGGTGCGGTGATGGATGAAGAAGGGAGCGTTAGCAAGTGTGGTAGTAGTGAAGGGGGGGGGGCAGTGAAGTCTTCGAATGTGGGAATTATCTACTTAAGACTATCGATACCAGGCTGGGTTCTGTCATATTTGAAAAGTGATTGGAAGCAGATATCCATGGATATTCAAGCGATGTGTGGTTTGCCTCATCCCCGGATGGTCTTTCATTCTTTATATTTTACTTTTCGTTACTTTTATTTTGAATTGTGTACTTCCTTTGTTGGTTGTCTTGTGCTCGGAGTACATATCATATTTTCCTATTATTCACTTGAGCGTCTAGTTATTATATACATCTATACGCCTGGAGGTGGATGCATTGATGTTGGTATTTCCTATATATACAGTACGATGCCAGTCGTGAGCGTCAGGCGCGGCGTCGCAGCGCCCCCCGAACCATCACGGGTACCAGCACAGCAACCACAATTGATCCTTTGGAGAGCTGAATTTTTGTATAGTTGTTAAATAGTAGATAAATAACAATAATTTGACATTTAATATCTTGTATACCAACCCTCCGTGAAAAGGTTGTGGAAATCTGGTTGCGCCTGACGCTCGCGACTGGCATCGTACTGTACATATCAAGCACAGAGCAGCATGCATCAGTTGATTTACAAACTACCTATCGTCGAGGGTGTTCAAAATATCAATTAAGTGATACGTTTTAACTCCCGATTCCGTTTCATTGTACGAATATAAACCATTACCTGACCCTCGAGGCCTTTTATTAAAGAATCTATCGTCAGAAACGAAGTGATAAAGTCTCCATGGTCTATCATAGCGAATCTTACGATTTAGACACTCTTGCCAGCAACTCCTCCAACCACAAATAGCCCCACCCGCTTTGAAATATCCCCGCATTGCCGCTGGTCATAAGCAGCAATGGTATCTTTTAGATCGCTACACAGTTTTCATTGTTGCAGTAATATCCCCACCCGGAGTAGTGCGTGGCAGTCGTGCTATGTAGCGCCTGGTAACGAAAGAGCTGTGTCCCTTCAGAGGTAGGAGGCGGGCGATAACATACGCCGCGTTCCTTGCCCAGCCTTAAATGCCTTGGCGCCAAGACTCGCATTTCTAATGTGAACCCCACGAAGTAAAGGTAGGCACGAGATGAACATTACAGTATTCCTTTACCGAATACAGTAGTCATCAGATATTGCAGTTCAAATTATTTCAAATGTTAGAGGACCGCAGATCAACCGCGTCCCCGGTGAAAGTGGTGGTGCGTCATGCGTTGATTCTTCAACCCTTATTATACTGGTTGTGACCAGTTATTGTCTCGCCTCTCACCTCGAAAGATGTAACCGAAAGCAGAATTCAAAAGGCTTTACCATCAAAATACTCTACACATACGTTCTACCTTAAGCGATTTTTTTTTTTTTTTAAATCATAGTTTCATTTATTTCTGGGTACAAGAATATCGCATGGAGCCTAGGCTACGGCGTGAACAACACCCTTCCCCTACCAAACCGCCGAAGGAAACAAAAGGGAAAGACAAAACATATGAGGGTGTGTACATGAAGCAGACGCTGTGAAGAGACCCTGACATTCCTCCTACCGGCCAGCAAACAAAGAAATTTGAAAACGTCCCCCTCAGGGGCAGAGTACTTTCGTACCAGCTATGCGTAATATGACAGGACATGGGAGAAGAGAGAATAAGGAGAGCGAAGGGAGGACACTTTTCGGTGTTTAGGATTTTGGTGGGTATAGCTGGCTCTTTAGGCCTATTGCGGATGGAGGCGGCCTAGGCCGAGCTTGATGAGAGGGAGGTGAGTTCGGAGTCTGAGGATAGGTCATAGGGTGGCGATTTGGGTGGGCCCATTTGTGGGGGGAACCCGGTTTTGGTTGCCCTTATGTAGGAAGAGAGGGCTGCAAGTGAGGCGGGGGGTGACCAAAGGTCATCGAGGGTTTTTGCAAAGAGTATGTGGGTTGCCCTCTGGGGACTGCGTTCAGGGCAGCGTAGGATGGCGTGTTCGAGGTCTTCGTCTTCGAGGAGACATCTGGGGCATGTTGGGGGTAGGTCCTGGGACATCCATGTTGGGTGGGCCGCTAGGTAGCTTTTATGAGCACGCATTTGGCATATGCGTCCTGCGATGAAGCGGTCGAGCTTGAGTTGGGGGTGTGGGCGGGTGTTGATTGGGAATTTGTAGTAGTCTGGTAGGGGGTTATTCTTCCAGATTTGCATGGTGTCTTTTTTAATAGAGAGTGCCAGGCCCGGGTGGATGGTGTTGGGGTTCTGGGCGAAAGTTGGTGAGTTGGTGAGTAGTGCGTGGCAGAGGTCGTCTATGGGGAGGCGAGCTACCCCTTTCCTGGTCGAGTTCCAGTTGACTGTCGGGTTTGGGCGGCCTCTTAGTAGGTGTCGGTGGGATGTCTCTCTGTAGGTGGAGAGTGTGTAGAAGGAGTCTGGGGTGCGTGCGGTGACTGGGTTGTATGCGGGGGATGCGGCTTGAATTCTTGCGGCGTATCTGATGCGTAGGGAGGGGAGGTATAGGGCGAGTGGTGGGAAGGATGTTTCGGCTTGTAGTATGGAGAGGGGGGTCGATCTGAAGCAGTTGGTGACCCATCTGAGGACTGAGTGCCAGGTGGTCTCGAGCCTCTTGAGTGCTCGTGCTGTTGGGACGAGGACAGAGGCTCCGTATGTGAGCATGGGGAGGATTGGAATGACTGCTAGTCGTCGGCAATTGAGGGGGGTGAGGCCTTTGTCTGCTGAGGCGAATCCTCTTATGATGGCAAAGGAGGCTTGTGCTGAGGCGCACCTTTTAGAGAAGTGGTTAAAGGTGTTGAGGTTGTCGGTGAGCTGAAGGCCCAGCCAGCGGATTTCTCTTTTGGGGTCGAGGGGGGTCCGGTTGAGTGTGATGGGGAGTGTGGAGGGTGCACTCCTATCAGCGCTGGTGCGCCAGTGGATGAGGTCTGTTTTGGGGAGGGAGAAGTGGATGTTGCGCGGGGTGCCTGTCTACCTTAAGCGATGTTACTCCCTAAAGTATCGCCCGCGGGTGCTGTTAGCGTCATGCAGAGCAGGGATCACAAGTGAGGGATTATATGCAGGTACGGATCTACCCGAAGCGGGACGACGCAACTGGCGTTCCATCACTTTGCCGACTGCCGCGATCAGTGTCAACGAAGAAATTTTGTCTCCTAATTCCGCGTGAATCTTCACAAGTCTTGAATATTAGTATGTACAGACGAACCAATTAAATGTTTTTTCTTCTACCCGATCATCCGATGGTTGTCTTGTACCCGGACAATCATAAGGTGAATATTTGACAATGATTGCGGCCCGTTTGCTGTCGACGGAGCCATAGGGGTACAGCCACTCGTCAAAAGTGTTCGTGATACAGTTTTAATGTCAGTGCGCAGTGCGGCGCATCCGTAATACTGATGTTATTAAAGTTGAGATTTAAAACAACGAAAAATATATAATATAGTTCGTGACTATATATAAAAGAAGATAGGTCATTGATCTTATTCTTCATTAATTTGGGTGCCATTGGTCACTGGGAAAGTCTTCTCTTGGGGTGTTCTTGATGGTCCGCCGCAGTGACATATGGAGAAATGTCTCACTCTGAAATCGGAATCACGAACACTTTTGCAGAGTGGCTGTATATACTTCCGGATAGCCTAGACGGATCCAGACATCGAAAGCCAAAGTGCAAAGCGACTTATATATTGCCAACTCCTCCACGGCACGAACCATGAACCGAGGAACTGTGCAAACTGAGCTCCTCGGATTCTTTGGCTAAAGAAAATTCGGCAGGGTTAGGGTTAGTCAGGCGCTGGTCATGATATATCACTCGCTGAAACTTGTCGCCGGGGTGGCTGCCAACATTACAAAAAGGGAACCTACCGCGCCACACGCTCTTAGGTTACTTCACTTTGGACTAATGAATAAAGTGAAATGTTGACTCATAGGCAGTCTTAACGCTAGAATTACACAATCAGCATATCTCCGGCAAATGAAAGATGAAGCGAAGTGGAAGAGGCTACAGCGGGTTGATTGTATAAGCCGACGGGAGGGAGCACGAAGGATCACTAAACGCGAATTACGTTGTGGCGATTTCACGGGGCGGTGCGGGGTACGCGAATAGATAGATGTTTTAACACGTTTCTGTGATTACGTGGCTGGACAGGGTTGAGCATGCATGCCCGTTTCTGAGCGCGTATAACTACGCTGCAGTATCAACTACCCATAAGCATTGTCACTCCTCTTTTCTTGCATCCGCGCAAATAACTAATAGAGAGGACTCAAACACGAACAGACTGGAAAGAATTCGCGTGCGGCGGGGGTCCGTCATGGCATCTCACTCGGCGTTCTCTGTTAAACGGAATAAACGTGTCGTTGGGGATAATTGGCACGCTGTAAATATTGGTGTACTTGTATTCACAGGAGTGTTTCCAACGGTTCTTCAGTTCATCAGCTCAAACCGGTTTTTTAGAACTGTTTAAGAAAACAGTTCAGTTCAGTTTTGCCTATTCACTATTTGGTTCAGTTCAGTTTCTGGCTTAGAGTAAACCAGTTTTCCATGCAGGTGGAACTCCTCACACAAAGTACCAACACCTCATCAAGACTAACCCTAACCCAGAACACTTTTTGTATAGAGTTCCTGCCAGACTAGTGCCAAGATTTCAGAACCGTTCTGCAATATAAACCGGTTCTTATTCGGTCGGTTCAGTTGTCGCCCATTTTTATTCAGTTCAGTTCAGCTCTGATGAAAGTAAGAACCGGTTACAACCGTTGGAAACTCTGATTCACAGCTAGCGGACGCGTCTGGCTGGGTGCGGATACCATCTTTTTCGATTAGGGACTTGGGTAGCGTCCAATTGCCAGCGGTGGGCATCGCTTGGGGTACGGGAAAGCGGAGAGAACCCCGCCAGCACCTCCGTCGGGTCCTTAGTTTATATCTCTTTGAATGACATGAGAAAAAGCTATTTTTCTAGTTAGACCGGCCCGCCATAGGATAGGATTGTTGTCACATCAGTGGCTTGTGAGGTGCAATCATACTACGAATTCCACTTTGGCCACTCATATCCGCCCAGGCATCTGCAAAATGACGACAGTTGGCAGCCTTAATATGGTCGGTTGTTTCCAGTCGAGGTTTTGGGGTTTAAGGATGTGGTACTTAAGCGGGGTCGGGGATGGACACACATCGGTTTCAGACAGCTTAGCATCACTACTGATGTCCTGCACAGACGGGAATAGGAGCCACCCATACGCTTCTACCTTAGAGAGGTAGAGCTGTCCCATGTGACTGACAGTTAGCGGATTTCAACTTCCTCAGCCCTATTACCCCCCACCCCATCCCAACTCCCCATCCCAGAAAAACATAGAATTCACCGCCTCCATCGCCGGTATCGTCACCGTCGCGACTCAAATAACCGAGTAACTTTACCCGCTTCGTCAGCGCCGCGTACCAGGCCCCGGCAGCAATCACATTCCTGACAAGCAAGGCCTCGACCTTCATGCACATCATCACCACCATCACCACGCGAAGTTCCCCATTCTCACCTCCTCCGACATCTCCGCCGCCCGCTGCACGCCAACCGAGCTGCAAACCGAGCTCACCCGCACGACCGCCGGCAGAGGCGCCCGCTTCTGGGAGAGCGTAAGGTATGCGAGCAGTGAGAGAACGCCGACGATGCTGGTGGGGAGGTTGGACGCCCATAAAATAACGCTGCTACTATGCCTAAATATGTTAATTAAGTTGAGTCTCCCCGTCTCGCTCTTTTCCCCTCGCCTCCGCTTCCGACAGATGGTTGAAGCTATAGAGGACTACCGGTCCGCGGTACATTCTGTGTAATGGACGACCTGCACAGGGGACCTTCGTCGGTGTGATAGGAAAAATGTGGTCTTCTTGTGTCCTCTCAATCGTATCCTATCCCAGGAATGTTTACGAATATAATAGGCCACCAAAACCACGGTAAACGACTACGAAAACCATGGTATAGAATAAGGGTTTGCGCTATCATGCATGTCACGATCGGCAATGAAAATCGTGAATATACGAAGTAGGGAAAGGCTTAGGCGCGAGGTTGAGATATTGTAGGGTGACAAAGGCTCTCGTTATTTTCGCATACCAACTAGCAGAAATTGACTAAAAAGGCAACCAGGATTCGTACCTAGGAGGTATATATATCAATCATCGGCTATTTCATTTTATTGACATCTTCTTTATATCGCCTGTGATCGTGGGTCTGGAGATATAATCGTTCCATAACCCATTCACCTACAAAATCACAAGAACCTTTGTCACGGAAATACTTATGCACATATCAGCTGTCGTAATTCTATATACGCTTATCTGAACTTAATCGGTCCTCGTACCCGATACTTCACTTCACACTTCCGCCAGTACCTCATGCTTGGGCGATAAGATAAAATGAATTACTGATCTATCTCAACTACACTTTACTCTACGATTGCCAGAACGTTCCTGGGGTTCATGAGCTGCACAGCTATTTATTTGCAAAACCACGATCTACCGCCGGATCGGACGTCCCATTATGGGTCAGAACAATTTTTTCGCACTAAAAATTATATTCTTTCACTCCCGCACTCTTCCTAGTTACCATTATAAATACTTTCCACCGATATCGGTGGTGATTAAATCTTAACTCAAGGTTTCAGATCGCAAGAACTGTGCTCGCCCTCGGGTATCCTGGCTTGTGGCGTTGTGGCGTTAGGCCAAGAATACGTAGACACGTGATACCATACACCGTAGCTTGGACTACCATAGATCTGGTGCCCCTATTTCCCACGAGAACCTCTGAGACTTGTATTAAAAATTCTGATTTGAGAACCTCTCACCCTCGGAAGACCACACGCATCATGCAGACCGTCCTAACACTGGTGGGGATTCCAGAAATTTAGTTGTAGCAACATCAGGTGAGAGAATTCCGGATCTCCCCCAGAGTATTATAACACCATGACCAGTCGGCCACAACTCAAAAAGCCCCGGGCGAAACAGATCTCGACCAATTCACATCGGTGCAAAAACACACTGTACACCGCTGTCTGTTTCCCACGGCGGTGTAGATCTCCGCTAGCTCTCCCCGGAGTGGTAGTGTCGGTCACGTGTTCAGAAGAACTGGAAAAGACATGTAACGGTTGAACACGATAAAGAACAGCATCTCCGAAAGAGAACACCTGTATATATAGCGATGAAAGTAGACGATCACTTGAATACAATCATGCTCCTTCTCTCGTCATAAAATCATCCTTCATTTGATCCACTTTGAAGAGCTCGGGCCGTAGTAGTTACGTCTTGGCACACAACCACACCCCACCCCCTTGAACCAGATCTAATCAGATCGTCCCACTACGATCGGCCGACCCCTTATTACATTACCCAGCTTAGCAAAAGGCCTTAGGGCCTGGCCATAAGTAGTAGAACTGTAGGGCTTCTCCTTCAACTCTCGCGCTAGCTGCACAGGAACCCTAACCCTCCCACCACCCCGCCATCCTCCATCCCCCCCGCATCCCCCACCCCCCGTTATTTCAGTACACCGCACGCTCACACGCTACCGTTGACAGTGCCCGCCGGGGAGTCAGTAGTGGGGACTAACTAGCGTGGATAGGTATTGTGTCAACCTAGCCTGGTTTCGGGGGCATGAATAATGCCCATCACCTCCGCTTGCGTGAAAGGCATTGTCCGGCGGGTATCCCTTTTTCTTTTTTTTTTCCCTTTTTTTCTTCCTTTCATTTTCTCCTCCCTTTTTTTTCTTTTTCTTTCTGCTCGCTCCTTATAATACTGGTAAAACTACGATTCGATACACTCTTTTACGGGTAAAAAAAAAAGAATAAAAAGGTGCGTTAACACTAGTATATAATTTGAGCTAATATATAAATCCAACCCCCGGAAAACCCCATGACATGCGATATACTGTGCCAATATAAAAAAAAAAAAACGCCAAGTGCTGAAACCGTCGATGTAGTAGTAAATTGTGTATGTCCCGTGTCTACCTTACTTGCCCCGTTGGTAATTCTTGAAATAGGGCGCTCGGCACGTTTCATAGTTCTGGAAGATTCTCATCATTTCATTATAGTATTTGTCATCGGCGTATGACTCACTTTCCTATTAGTCATTCTATTACTCACACGTCTATGACTCATTGTATTTCTTTTGTACTACATTTCCTTAGTATAAATACGGGGCATTCCCCCTTAGCTAGCACAATCAACACGATCAATTACTTTACTTCTCCTACATACTTTCTCTAGTAATTACCCGTTGGACCTCGCTAGACCGGGGGCGCTGGGACTACTGCTGAAGCATTCAGTCCACTATCTGCTCAAGTGTACTAATAAAACCCTATTTTATCTTACGAAATTCCATTAAAGCTAATTCGACAACGAAAAAAGAAAAAAATGAAAACCCGCTCCCAACACCCCCGGAAACGATAGAGAGAGCCGGGCTCGAGAAAAAAAACCGATAACGAAAAACTTTCTCGAACCTCCCCCACCCGCCTTTGACCGCAGTGTTCTGTCCAATACAACGGACGCGCCTATCCACCGGACGTTCAGCATATCGGTCGTTGTTTTCCAAACAAATTTGCGTCCTCCATATGGGTAGCCTGTTGGGGGAACGTTCATTGAATGGGCTGAACGAAGTGTGGTTCAGGTTCTCTAATGAATGGTCTTGTGCGAACCGGGCCCCCGCATATCTCTTCGGTCATGCCGTGATTCACTGCAATGATAGCCGTAAGACTAGCTAGAGGTGAAAAACCCTCCAACAGAAATGTTCATTACCGTCAATGTAGACGAAGGGCCGGTATTGTCACAACATATAGTGAATGAATTAAACCAAAAGAAAGCAGAAGAAAGAAAGCGAGAAAAAAGCAATGGCCGGTGCTACGCCACTATCGTATGTATGGGTCCTAGTACAGCAACGCAGTCAAAACCACTGAGGGCAGCGGGGATGACGCTATATCAGTGTTTCCAGTGGTTCACCCATTCTTTAAACCAAACCGATTTCCTAGAACGGTTGTAGCAGAATTTCGGTTCAGTTTTGGCCTTTCCCGCTATTAGGTTTAAACGGTTGTCAATTTTTCCAAACCGGTTTAAACCGGTTTTATCTTGCTGCTACCCGCATACGAAGACTCATTTTAGATCAACCTGTTGGATGAACTAAGGGTTACGAATTTCGGAAATGTCAAACTAACCTCTGAAACATTGGACTAAATGATGGAACGGTTGTAGGTACCAAACCGGTTTGGATATTGGAAATACAGTTCAGTTCAGTTCAGTTCAGTTCAGTTCAGTTATGTGGGTAATTCAGTTCAGTTTGGTATGGTACGACCCCTTATGCAAACCTGTTTCACCCGTTGGAAACACTGCGCTATAGTGGTTCAAGTTATTGGTGATGTTGTCGAAATCATGTGTGTTGCAAATACTTACCAGAAATCAGTTCAAAGTATGGTTTTGATAGCCTATTCAGCAACGCTGTTCGTACAGGTAGCCGATTGAGAGGACGCCTGAAAACTATTGTTTCCCTATCTTGTTGGCGAATGCCACCCTTACAGGCCATCCTATCCACTGAACGTCCGCTGGATGGGTAGCGTCCTGCATTTGGGCCAGAACACTCTATCACTCTGCTTCTGAGATTGGGTAGCCATGCGCGGGTGTGGTTGGTATTAGCGTCATGCAGGGACGAGGCAGGGATCAGGGATCCTCCTCAATGCAGCTACAGATCTATCCGCAGCGGGATGACGCAACACAGCAAACGTATTTTAGCAGACAATTTACTTCGGGGGTGAAAGGGGGCCTTGTGGAATAGTAGCCGGATATGTTCTGCTCGCATTAAGAAGGCTCCCCCACGAACTCGCGGGGCTGCGGTGGTCGGGTCGGGATAGTCCTGAGCCCCGTCAACCACTCCCGAGTCTCATCCATAGGGGAGTGGTGAAAAGGTGATGGGTAGTGCGCCAGGCACCGCAGTCTCTCAAGGCGCAGCTTAGGAGACTATGTAGATCCATCGATTGTATGTCTTAGCAAGGGATTAGTGGAATAATTATGTTTGACGCCATGGAGACAGCGGCTCAACCCGAGGCTTGTAACGGGTTCAATCTGACACGTCGAGCTACTAGTCATAATGTAGGACTAGACCACGGTGTTACAAAAGATGTAGGACCATTTAACTAGACCATTCCTCCTAGACGTGTAATAAATAACCCTCACCTGTGTTCATCTGTTGTGAGCTAAAAGGACTGAACCCCACACAATACGCTAAGGGAGTGACAGCAAAGGACCTGCCTAGAAACATGGAATTGGGATTTGGAATGAATAAGTATCTATCTCAATTCTCTCTTGCCGGGTATGTGATAAGCTACTCTGGACTGTCGGAATTCGGATCACAATCCGATTAAGTAATACTCAGAGAACAGCGTAATAGTGTAGGAGATGGAAACCTATACAACTTCTACTCTGGGTAATAACACTCGCAGTGGGTCAGGTATTCCTTGGCTCGGCCCGGGTGATATCCCAGGTATGCGGAGTTGTCTTCTCAATTTTGTGAGCGGGTCGGGGGGATCGGTGTATTTCCCGACTCAGGTGTACTTTTTGCGAAGCCGCCGTGGTAAGCTACTTGCATACGTTAGTTGATATTTGGCAGGCGTCGGTGGTGCGGCATGATTTGTCAATCGATGGATGCAGGAACTCGCAGTTATAATTGGCGCTTATGGTTACATGGTCCTGCTACAGGTTTAAGGTCGATCGCTGAGGCTCTAGCTAGGATTTGCATCATATCAATAGTCTAGTTTGTGAGAGGGACCGTGTCATGGAATATTGCTCTTAAACTATCCATGTGGTGGATCGAGGACTTTGCATGCACCTCACAAACAAAGGAAAGGAGCTCAACTTGAGGAGCGTGTCCACCTATTTCTACGCGGCTCACAATATTGCTTTATGTTTCTTGTTCTCATTCGAGCCAGCTGGCGCTCCTGACAGTATTGTCGGTGATCGTTGTCACGGCTGTGGCTGCTGATGCTTGGTCTGGCCAATCGTGCTCGCAGTAGGATCCCAATGCGCACCCCGCGCACGACACAACCAGATGGCTGTCCTTGATACGCTCGTTCCCAAACAACCCTTTGACGTTGTCAGCAAGTGGGGTAAAGTGAGCGAAAGCTACAAATAGGTAGAGCATTTACCTCCCAGGTCCCCGGCTTGCAGTCATTTTTCCTTGGGGTGAGGTTTCTACAATAAGCACGGGCACGGGATTGCCTGCTTAGGAAGGTATATCTCATTTTACTTACGTCGAAGTAGTTGTTTATCCCTGCGTAGACTCACACTAGCCGGGAGAGCTCACAAATTCGCAGCACGGAAAACGCCGGACGCTGAGTTGCTACTTTATTGATATCGCATAACCTGGGAAGAAGGTATGGAGGTAGTACTTGCACTAGGCGGCCTTTTCGCCACAGGAATCCAGGTCAGCGAAATGCTAAACCGCTTCGTCTCCGCCGTTATCAACGCCCCTAACAACATCCGATACCTCAAAAGCGAGGTCGAGAATTTCACAGGAATCGTCTCCGTCCTGCAGGCGAAAACAACCGCGCAGGCTCCCCCTAACCCCCTGAAAGTCACCCCCGGGAACTACTTTTCAGCTGCCCTCGACTCTGCCCGCCAGAAGCTCTCCGACCTGTACAGGGAGCTGGATCGCGTTGCCTCACATGGCAGCAGGCTGTGGGAAGGCATAAAATACGCATACAAGGAACAGACCTTTAGCACGCTGCTGCTGCAGCTGATGAATCATAAGGCAACGCTGCAGCTTTTAGTGAGGTTAGTGTTGCTCTTCCATCCTTGACATGTGTTCACGGAGCTGAGAAAGGCCGGATATAGCCTGACGTCCACAGAGTCTTCGGAGGAGAGGTGTATGATTATGAGGAGGTTTACAAGAGACTCTGCGGTGACGGACTGCGAGAGCTATGTCGCCGCACCGACAAACGTTTCCAGTTTGACCCTGACCAACGCCGGCGGTAACCCACATGCCACACGCAGCAGCGCCTTTGCACACGAAACATCAACGCGGAGTGTTAGCGGCAAACCGGCCCCGAACCACAATCCGACAGCATCAGCGCCCGTCATTGTCACGGCTAGCCCCAACGTCGTGCCCTCGGTAGCAATATATCCCATGCCGGCTCCCCCCGCATTCACCGCGCCGAAATATTCGCTACATGAAGCTGTCGGAAAGAGAGATAAGAGGATGGTGTACTATTTTCTCCAGCTCGGCCATGACGTAAATCAGGACCACCCAGAGCTGGAGACGCCGCTGGCATACGCGGTATGGCTGGGGGAGGCGCAGATAGTAACCTATTTATTGCTATTTGGCGCAAATGTGAACGTCAAGAACAGGCTTGGGAGGTACGTTGATCATATCCGCTCTAGCTAGGGAGAGTCTACTTATCCTGACCATCCGTTTTACTGATGCCAATTACTGTCCCAGGAGTCTCCTCCACGGCGCCGTAGTCACCGGCGACGAAGTGATCCTCCACGACCTGCTGAAAAGGCAGACGCCGGTCAATGAAGCCGACATGTTCGGCGACACAGCGCTGCACATTGCGACGTATTTTGCGAGGACGAAGATGGTTGACCTGTTGATACAGTGGGGGGCGGATGTGGAGCGCAAGAATGGGCGGGGGCTGGCGCCGGGGATTTCGCCGTGGCGCGTGTTGAAGCTGAGGAGGAGAGTGACGGTGTGTGGATTAATCTGGGGAGATAGATTGGGGGGTAGTATTCCCTGTTAGGAAGTGGTGGCGTTGGTTTGGTGTAAGGTTTTCGGGGGTGGGCGTTTGGAGAGACACTGAAGAAATGTAATGGAATGAAGCATTGGCTGGTTGGAAGGAATGTTTGCAAATAGTACCATGTATATGTATACGAGACAAAGCGTATTAATAACTGTGCCCATCTCTCCTAAAAGGAAAACTGGACGGTGGTGGGCAGTGTGTTTACATCAATTCAGAGAATCGATTTCGTAGGGTGGAAAACCATTGAGCAAACACCATGCAAATCTGTGATCCCATTCGTGAATAATAATACTGCGCAAAAAGAATTTTGAAAAGTATCCCCCAGAACAAGAGCCTGAGAGCGTTCTTAGTCAGCCCGGCGGCTGACGCGTCAATCTAATCATGAGTTAATCTCAGTCCCAGTAGTGACAAGGTTTCCCAAAAACGAACGAGGGTAAGCCAGGCCTCAACCTAAATAGGTATGTTTCTGTTACACTCATCCGTCCTCCGCCTCACCGCAGCACCCCTCCCCTCCCTCCCCTTCCCAGAACCCCACCAACCACCCTACGTATAACCCCGCTCTCAGCGCAGCAACCAGACAATATGACACTGGGGTACGTATCCCCCCGCACCGCACCCACGCCCACTAAGACCCCAGCCAGCGCCGAAACATCAACCTCCTCCGCCAGAACCTCGACGCGCTCACCTCCCTCCTGTCGCCGGCGCAGGACAGAGTAGCCATTACCAGGGACGACCGCAAGGCCGCGCTGCACACGGTCAAGGTGACAGCCGAGGCGGGAGCAAAGGTCGCCGAGGCCGTGCATGTGCAAGCGCTGACGCACCACCACCACCACACCACGTCGAGCGAGCCAGAAGTGGAGGAGACACTGATAACAGCGAGGGATGGTGCTGCCGCGGCGGGGGCGGAGAGGAGGAGAGCTGGGCCGGTGAAGGTGGAGAGGGTGGGTGGAGAGGCTGATGGGGCGGTGGCGGGGACGGGGAGAAAGATGGTGGAGGCGCATAGGGTGATTGGAGGGGTGGTCGGAAGAGGTCTGCAGTCGGGTACGGGGTGGGGGAAGGGCCGGGTGTGGATGAAGCCGAGGCGCCGCCCCCCGAGCGTTGACTCTGATACATTTTTGGCTGAGTTGAGCTCGGGGTAGCTTTTGCCGCAGGTAAAGAAGTATGTCCAAGCCAGAGGCTGATTATAATTACTTTACTCGTTCCAATGAAGGAAGAGCATAGAGGGGGTGAAAAGTAGAGAGGGCAATTTCTCTCCGGTCAAGTACAACTGAGCTACAGCTGCACATTTGTCTTTAAGCTAGGCGTTGCTGTGTTCCTTTCTTCAACCGATATGTCGCTCGCTTGGTCAGCCCCCACGTGGTTGAAGCGAAAATCATAAAAAGGAACGTATTGCTCGGTAAATAGGCCAGTTTACAGCACAACCTACTCTTCCAACCCCCTCCACAGCCTTCAAGCTTCCCCACCCCACCCCAGAAACCAGCCCACACCCCTCTCCGCACCGCAATCCAACCCCGCCCCCCTTACAATCATGACACTCGGGTACGTACCCCCCCCCACCCCCCCCCCCGCACCGCACCCACCCCCACTAACACCCTAGCCAGCACCGAAACAATCAGCCTCCTCCGCCAGAACCTCGACGCACTCACCTCCATCATCCTGCCGGGCGCCATGACACAGGACGAGCGCAAGACCGCGCTGCACACGCTCATGATGACCGCCGAAGCAGGTGCCAAGCTCGCGGAAGCCGTGCATGTGGAAGCGCTGACAACCCACCACACGTCGGGCGCGCCGGGGGTGGAGGCGCTGATCAACGGGAAGAATGGCGCTGCGGCGAAGACGGAGACGGAGAAGCAGGTCGGTGGAGTGGCTGGGGGGCTGTTTGGAGGGGGGGGCGGGGGAGGTGTGAAGTCGGCCCCGCTGGTTACAGGTTTTGCTGGTCTTGGTTCTTTTCGTTCTGCCTCGCCCTGAACGGAACTGAACTGAATTAAATAATAACCGACCGAATAAGAACCAATTTATACTGTAGAACTATTGTGAGGTATTGGCACTAGTGTAACAGGAGCTCTATGTACAACCGGAGGTGTTTAGGGTTATGGTACTCTCTGCTAAATAGGGTGTTCGTGCTTTGTGTGAAGGGTTCCAGCTGCATACAAGACCAGTTTTGCTCAAGCCAAAACTGAGCCGAACCGAACAGTGAGAAGACAAATCTGAACTGAACTGATTTTTTTAAAACGGTTCTAGGAAACCGGTTTGAACTCATAAACTGAAGAATTGTTCGAAAGACTGGGGGCGGAGGGGGAGGGGGCCGGTGAGTGCCTCGATATGCCAGCGTTCACTAGGATAAAACTTATTGCGAGTTGAGCTCGGGGTAGCTTTTGTCGGTGGGAAAGAAGTGTGTCCAAGCTAGAGGCTGATTGTAAACACTTTACCCGTTCCAATGAAGGAAGAGCATAGACGGAATGAAAAGTAGAGAGGGAAATTCCTCTCCCATCAAGTACATCTGAGCTACAGCTGCACATTTGGCTTCAAGCTCGCTGTCACCGTGTTTTTATCTTAACGGATATCTCACCTACTTAGTCAGCGCCCCGCCAATCATCCAGAGGATAGCGTTGCAACCCCGCGCAATTTAGGCCTCCACTCCATTGACAAAGGTAACAACCCGCGCGCTCTTACAACCACAAACCACCCCACAACCTCAACACGACATCAAGATGGCACTCGGGTACATATCCCCCCACCCCTTACCTTCCACTTCCCACAACAACGAGAACTGACGCTTGCACCAGCTCCGAGGCAGCCGCACTACTGACCCTCGCCACCCACGCACTCAGCCACCAAACCTCGCCCGCGCAGCACGCCCTGCTCTCCGCCGACGAGCGCAAGTCCGCGCTGCAGCAGCTCCTGGCGACTGTCGAAGCCGCGGCGAAGCTCGCTGAGGTCGCGCATGTAGAGGCGTTGGCGCAGCGCGGCGGCGACACAGAGTGCGTCAGGGCTGAGACGGAGCGGATGAAGGCGGAGGCGGAGAAGATTGGGAAGGAGGTGGAGAGGGCGGTGGCGGAGACGGATAGGCTCAGGGTGGAGGTGGAGAGGGTTGAGAAGGAGGCTGACAGGACGGCGGAGGAGACGGAGAGGATGAAGGCGGAGGCGGGGAAGGTGGAGAAGGAGGCGGATAAGGCCGGGAGGGAGACGGAGCGGGCGGCGCAGGAGACGGAGAGGGTGAAGTGGGAGGCGGATAAGGTGTCGAGAGAGACTGAGCGGGCGGTGCAGGAGACGGAGAGGCTGAAGGCGGAGACGGAGAAGGTCGGGAAGGAGGTTGAGCGGACGGTGCAGGAGAGGGAGAGGCTGAGGGTGGAGGTGGAGAGGGTTGAGAAGGAGGTTGAGAGGACGGCGCAGGAGAGGGAGAGGCTGAGGGTGGAGGTGGAGAGGGTTGAGAAGGAGGTTGAGAGGACGGCGCAGGAGACGGAGAGGGTAGAGGCGGAGACAGGGAAGGTGGGTAAGGAGGTTGAGAGGTCGGTGGCAGAGCGGGAAAGGGTGAAGGTGGAGGTGGAGAAGATTAGCAAGGATGTTGAGAGGTTGGTGGCAGAGAAGAACAGGGTGAAGGCGGAGGAGGAGAAGCTCTTGAGGGAGGTTTCGAGGACGGTGCACGAGACCGAAAGGCTGAAGGCGGAGGCAGCGAAGGTCGCGAAAGAGACCGAGAGAACTGACCACGAGACGGAGAGGCTGAAAGGAGAGGCAGCGAAGGTCGCAAAGGAGACCGAGAGAGCGGACCACGAGGCGGAGAGGCTAAGGGTGGAGGTGGACCGCGTGAGGTGTGAGACGGAGTATCAGAGGGTAGTTAAGCGTTAGACGGGGGTGGTGGTGGTCTCGTCTTGTACGTGAACGTTTTCCGGCGGAATAGTTTTGTTTATGGTACTTAGCTAGCTGTTTGATGATTGAGTATTGAATGAGAGATGAGCATATCTGGTAGTTCGAGAGGATATCTAGCAGGCTTGCCGTGCTCACCTGGGTCCCCCGACGGATATGCTGCTACTGTGACTCCTATAACTCCTACCACAACCGGACGCGTCCAAAAAGCCATCCATCCGCGAACGTTTTCCCCCTCCAGCGAAACTCCCCTTGTCCTATCGAACCCTATGTGCATCTCCACCCGAATGTTCGCCCCGGAGGTACATCATGATGTATCACTCGACCCTCTAGCGACAGCCTGATGTTTTTTTATTTGTTTATTTAATTCATACTCGCATTTGATGATTCGTTAAAAATCTGCTCAGCTGTTATAGGATACGCTTTGCTGGTGTTTCTTGATCTAGAGGTGGCGCCGAGGTCACGCCTGGAGCTGCAGGGCCGGTAGCCTCATTGTGTCCCGGGCGCGGGGGCGGGAGAGGAGAGAATATGTACTTTAGATTGATGCACCAAGCCCTCAGTCTCGTCATTAAACCCGACCAGCGAGACAACATACAACCCGGTCACCTCCGCACTTCTAGTTAGCTAGAACATCCCTAGTGTTAGATTAGGCTGCCCAACGCACGCAATAGCTTGGGATTATTAACCCTAACCCTGGCCATATGCCAACAAATTGCAAAAGGAGATTTGGACATGTCCCGCCTTTGAAACATTTTCAAGTCATGGCGAGACGAGCAGTAGTAACTAGCAGTACATCTAGGCTTTTGTACTGCTCATATACACCGGGTTTGAGGAGCATGAGGCCGAATGGCTGGTATCTCCTATTCTGGCTCGTTCGGATTGTATCATGTTGCGCGGGGATGTCGATGAACTACGCGTCACAACTGTTTAGATAGAGGAAAAAGGCAGTTTGTGCAACGTCTTGTAGTGATCCTGTGTGTCGGCAAGGTACAAGCAATATGCAACTCTCTGTCGGTCTTTCGTCCTCTTTGTTCCTAGTATTAGCGGGGATCTTATTTCAGAATTAGGAATTTTAGATTGCCGCCGTGGTCCAGTGTTTCCAACGGTTCTTCAGTTTATCGGTTCAAACCGGTTTTCTAGAACCTCTTAAGAAAACAGTTCAGTTCAGTGTTGCCTATTCACTATTTGGTTCAGTTCAGTTTGTGCCTTGGGGTAAACAGGTGTTCCACGCAGGTGGAACTCCTCCTACAGAGTACGGGCGCTTTATCAGGAACAACCCTAACCCAGAACACTTTGCATGAAGAGTTCCTGCCAAACTAGTGCCAAGATTTCAGAACCGTTCTGCAATATAGACCGTTTCTTTTTCGGTCGGTTCAGTTGTCGGCCATTTTTATTCAGTTCAGTTCTGCTGAAAGTAGGAACCGGTTACCACCGTTGGAAACACTGCCGTGGTCATCACAGCCTGGATGTATCTATATCTGATATGCTCTTTGCGATCATTACGGCAACCCCCACTTCCTATCTGTATATTGGAGCTTAGATGATAGGTTTATGCCGGGGTGTTGGATAATAATAGGTATATATTGGGCGCAAAAGAATGGGAATCAAATGAAACCCAGCAGAACTTAAACTTGACTGATATCCAATCACTGTTAAGTCATGTTAGCTGGTAACGCAAATCTCTGCTAATCTCCGATCTCACGATTTCGCGGATATCAATAATATATCCTTGAGGTTATATGGGCACCTTGGAGAAACCTGCAGAAGTCTGGAATCTCGGCGATATTTGAAGCGTGTTTCTGGGACATAATGCTGGTAGGTATCTCGCTTAATAAATCAACTATTGCCTTTCTCTCCGAAGGAGATAGCGCGAGTGAATGCTTTGATATGTTTGGTAATAGAAGCGCGGATCTATTTACAGGCTGTTTTAATCATTCCCCAGATCCCTTTCCCAAAAATAGAAACAGTGCGTTTCCCGAATTATTTTTTAAAATAAATATGGTCTTTCCTGATAAATTTCCTTAAAAGAGACACATAGAACCTTTGAGAACAAGAGTTGTGATCTTCCCTAGGAATCTAGCCGGTGCAGGGGAAATGGTTCGAAAAGACAGAGGTTTTGATAGGCGTCTTCTAGCTTACCGGTTGAGCTAGCACGTGGGTATTTGTAGCCGGTGTGTGTGTTTGAAGAGGTTTGTGATTTGACTTCATGTAAAATCCCCCTAGAGTAATACTCGATTTTATCACTGGCATATGCTAGTTCTATAATTTTAGGAGATGGGGAATTGAAAGAAAAGCTCAGCAGCCTAAACCCGTATAGATCGGCACCTATGAGCGCTACCATTTGAACCTGTTTGCTTCAGCGCCGCGGGTCGAGCAGGCCTGAGGACGAAAGTATACTTATCACCGAAATGTGACTGTTACCTCTTCTCATATTTGAATTGAACACTAAATCATAAATACCTCTCTATTCGGGCAAAGATTCATGAGTAGGATATCTTATATATAGCTCCCGCTCTCTAGGCTCTAGAAACCATGCTATGAATGTTCATCGAGTGATCTTCCATGATGCACCCCCGCGGATATTATCATCTTTTCAGTAGCGCTTCATATACCTACACGCTCCAGCGAGGTCTTTATAAGTATCTAAGTTCAACAAGTTGTCAAAAGATTATTGTCCCTCTATCGTCGAATATACCATATTTTCGCTTATCTACTGCCGTCCCGCTCTCCGGTAAACATGTGCAGGCCAACCCTGGTATGTACAGCCACTCAGCAAAAGTGTTCGTGATATAGTTTTAATGTCAGTGCGCAGTGTGGCGCACTCGGTACCCGTGATACTGATGTTATTAAATTTGAGATTCAAAACAACGAAAAATATATAATATAGTTTGTGACTATATATAAAAAGAAGATAGGTCATTGATCTTATTCTTCATTAATTTGGGCGCCATTGGTCACTGGGAAAGTCTTCTCTTGGGGGTTCTTGGTGGTCCGCTGCGGTTACATATGGGGAAATGTCTCACTCCGAAATTGGAATAACGAACACCTTTTCAGAGTGGCTGTACATATATACTCGTATTTTTCTGACGTTTTTGAACCGGGCCGGGTCCGCATGATAGGTACAGGACGGCGCGCAGGCAGTTTGGGCCAATGATAGGCCCGGGTTTGAATCATAACAATGTGGGTCACGACGATGTTGATGATATTCAACATGTTCGAGGAATATAATGTAGAGCTAGAAATTGAAATTGTTTCCACCTCCATCCGCAATACAGGCTTCTATCCTTCGTGACATTGACAGTACATGATGATTGACTCTATCTACAGGGTAGTTCTGCCATTCACTCAAAACAAGACGGCGGATAGCAGGGGCAGCGAACTCTACCCCAATTTGGGTCTTAATCTTATCCTTTATCTCCATCGATATTCTTTCAATAGGGTTCAAATCCGGTGAACTGGCAGGCCAGAAGAGTTTGTTGATACCTAACTGTACACGGAGGTAATCATGATAATGATGGATATGTGCTGGCGCGTTATCTTCCATCAACAAAACCCCATCTCGTATAGCCATCTTCTGCAAAACAAAAGGGTAGAGTTCTGGGTTGAGAATTCTTTCACAGTATAGAAACCAATCTATGCCATCTTTCCTATCTTTCTTACGTACTTTGAACTCCGGTGCTCTATTTACCCAGTCCCCATTGGCCAAATGAAATGCCTCTTCTGCCAACTCCTGCTCATACTCCTGCTGTAGCTGAACATCTGCCTCTGCTCTCTCTCTCGCTGTCTCGTAGGGTGTTTTGAATATATGATATGGTAACTGTGCACCACTTTGATCATATAGAATTGCACCCCAAAACATTATAGTAGATCCAGTTCCGAATTTGCGATTGATGTTACGAGGAATATATGCTTCACCAGCGCGACGAAGCACCCCTTTGGCTCTCCTCATTCTCAAACTCCCAGTCTCAAAATAAGTTTCATCTGTGAACACTACTGTCCGCTAGTCTTGTTCCCTGTACCTATGACAGAATTCGAGTCGTCTAGCCTTATGTTCATCGGTAAGGTGTGGTTTTTCTGTAGCCTTCCTTCTGTATATACCATCTTCTGCTAGGATCTTCCGGACCGTCTGTGGACTAATATCAAGTCCCGCCTCCATTGCCAATCCAGCATATGTCATACGGCAATGTGTATAGTCTGACAATGTAAGGGCGATTAAGGCTTGTTTTTCCTCTGCTGATACTACAGCATTACAACCTCTCTCTGCATTCGGCTTTGGGGCAATGTTCTCATCCGCACATAGATCTAATGTTCAAAATTGTACTTAGTGTACCTATCACGATGGGCTGTCAAGAAAGAGTTCCAATCAAACCTTGAATTCCATTTTCCCTTGACCTTCTTTTGGCCTCACTAATGATATTACTGCAGGTTGACCGTTTAACCTGAGAATTTAAAGATATTTCCGTCAAGGTCATCCTCCTTGCCCCAGTCAGAGAAGCAAGAGCAAGAACCTGCCCTCTTTTCCTCATAGGTGTCGTCCTGCCCTGAACATTCAGCATCGTAGAGTTCGTAGTAGTGAATAATCAAGCTTTCGAAGCTCTACTGGTCGAAGCTCTACTGGTCGAAGCTCTACTGCTCGAAGCAATACTGGTCGAACCCGTACTGCTCGAACCCGTCCTGCTCGAACCCGTCCTGCTCAAGCTCTAGCTTGACCTGCGTTGTCATGATTCAAACCCGGGCCTATCATTGGCCCAAACTGCCTGCGCGACGTCCTGTACCTATCATGCGGACCCGGCCCGGTTCAAAAACGTCAGAAAAATACGAGTACACTCCACGCGCCTGCAGAGTATGTATATGTCGACAGTCACAATAGATATGAGAAAGATGGTTCTATATCTATGAATCTAGACAGTTAGAGAACTATATGTAGTACTCTTATCCATGGCCGGAATGAAACGGATTGAGAATCGTGTCTGGTTGCTATGCGGGGTGCATAGATATTTTTGTAACCTGGCAATAGAATAAACCTAACCCTGCAGATCAGTTACACAAGGATTGTGCGGGGTAAGGCTTGTACGGACAGCTCGTAATTATCCCGAAGATACGCCATTCATCTTTACACACTAGACACACGCTATCGAAACCGATCTATCTTGTAGATTTGTTCACGTGCGCTACACATCAGGAATCTCAAGCTTAGAATATCGCTACAGTATCCAGCTGCATTACCGAAGCCTTCAGCCTCAGTCCTTTCTCATGGAGGTTGCAGCCTCGGTAGTGGGGCTTTTTATGGCCGCCGGGAAGGTCGCTTCGGTTTTGCAAGAGCTTCTATCTTCGGTCAAAAATGCGCCTGCTATCGCCAAGCAAATCAATGACGAAGTTATCCACTTTCGCTATATCATTCTCAAGATTGAGGAAACGGTGATTGAAGGTAGAAATCTCGATTCCAAGCGCGCCGCCATGATCGACGTCAACCATCTGTGCGCCGCGCTCACCGCAGCGGTTTCCACATTTTCCGAGCTTGAAAACGAGTTAGACCGAATTAAAGCTCGCGGAAAGATGGATCTCTGGGATAGAGTGAAGTGGATGAGAGCCGAAAAGAATCTTCTTAATATCTCCCTGCGCTTAAATAGACACCAGACATCTTTAACCCTTATATTTACGATTCTCACCAGGTGAGATACACCACATTCGGATCGAGGATACTACAGTCTTCCGAGCGTCCATATATCTCCTCTCATGATCCCAGAGTGTCATACATACATGCTGACTTCGACTTCGCCTTCAATGTAGCGAGTCCGTTGCTCGGGCGCTGTCAAGCAAGGAGCGCCTTAGTAGCGAGTTTGACGCCGAATCGCGGGCTGTAGCTGATACTCAAGGTAATATTATATATTATATCCTCAGTCGCGCACTCTCATAACGGCTTCTTAGCAGACGGTGATACAGGTTCTCAATCGAACTCGAACACATTCATTCGTACAGTACCCGACCCCTTACTTAGAAGCTATCAATTTGAGTCCAGCTTGTCTCGATCTCGCGCATATCAAAGGGCGGGAGATTCCGACTCCATATTGTCATTGGACACCCTGCGGAGTAGAATTGGGCGATGGTCAATTTATACAGCGTTCTCGAATGACTCTGTGTTCTCTATGCCGGTATCGCTCCGCGAAGTGTCGGGAATTAGTATTGCAGAGAAGTCCATAGCCCCCGTTCTTTTGCCGATCGCCGTAGATTCCATCTATCACAATGAGCATTATCGAACAGGCGCCAAGCGACGAGGATTAATGAGGGCACCGACCCCAGAGTTTGGCCTTCATGCTGCTGCTAGGGAAGGACGATACGATGAGATTCGCGACTTACTTCGGCGTGGTGGTTTGGACGCCAACCAGGAAGACCACAATGGAGACACCGCCTTGGTAATTGCCATTCGAAACTTACATACACGTACAGTAGAGGTCCTGCAACTGTTCGGTGCGGAGGTGCGGCCTGGGGAGGTTGTTCAGTATGTTATCTTTGCCTATAATCAGGTCTACATGTGTCAGGTTAGATATGGGCTAACGCCATTAGACTCTTTAAGTTTGTTATTCAACAAGAAACCATAGCCACCCTCTCAGAGGGAGGGGGACGTAAGCTTTTGACAATTTTGAAGATGTGCACGACGGCCACTACCCCGAGACACTCCGTGATATCCTTCAGTCCAGTGGGCATTTGACAAGCGTGGAGCTCGCTATATTTGCGCTAAAACACGCATCTGACCTGGGTCCTCTCATCCCACAAAGTTGCGTGACAGAAGCCTTGAGAGAGTCTGGAGTTGCAAGAGCTGAGGTTGGCATAAAGGCGATATTTCAGGAATCGCTTAGCATAAAAGATGGTCTTCAGACAATTCAAAAAGGACTCTTCCACCTCATCCGAGGATCGAAAGAGAAGAAACCCGACATCATTGCATTCGCCTTGGAGAGGGTAGCTGAACTGAACGCTGCCCCTGCGTTCCATGACGCGTTGACATCCAGGGTGACAAAAGGAAGCTTGGTTCTCATTGCACTATTATTTGGTGTAAATACATATGGTGCTGTAGTCGAAGGTTCACTGCGTGCCTTTCTCCAACCAGATGATAGTGTTATGGTTAGAATTCTGTTGGAAGCAGGAGCGGGCCCGGATCGTACCAACGGGTTACTTGGTGAGGCGTATATAGAGCTTGTGGATGTCGGCCAAACAACACTTCATGCAGCAGTTCTCAGTAATACTTTGAGCTCTCTCGATGCTCTATTAAATGAAGGGTTTGACATCAATTCCACGAATGGAAATGGCGAGACAGCGTTGCATCTCGCTTTACAGCGGGGATGCGTGTCAATCGCCAAGACTTTGATGGGTCGTGGCGCAGCAGTAAACGTTCCAAATATACTTGGCAACACACCGCTAATCATAGCAGCTGCGAGAAAAATCATGTCCCCGCAATATGTGTCTATAATTGATGACCGTCTAAGTGAGCGTGCAAATATGGATGTTACATTCTCTTCCGGGGAGACCATCTTACACGTTGCCGCCGTGTACGGGGACCGTGACCTAGTCTGGCAACTCCTGGAGGCGGGAGCAAATCCCAGCGCGAAAGATGACGGTGGCCGTACCGCAGATCAGTGCACCCCGGATGAGTGGATTGTTTCGGCAATCAGGCTCAGACTCAAAACTGACAGAACCAAGATGACACCAGTCAGTATCCCACCGCAGTCTCACATCATACGTTACTAAAAGGTATAGGAAAACGATACGAATATATCAACCCTACGAACAGAAACAGGTCCATAAATCTGCAAAGAAACGTCAATGACTGAACTTTGTTATCTTTAATAGTCTTAATTTTCATTTTTGTCTTCCGATATCGTTTATTAGTACTTGGAATGTATGTTATAATGGTGGCAACAAGATGTAGAAAAGCTCTCATGATCCGGAGGGGCGGAACGCCTTGATAAGCGGGCCGAGTTGCTTGATAATTTTGATATATACGAGAAGATATATACCGGATTGAAGGCGATAACGTAAATATGGTGGAGTCGATAATCCAAATGGCGACCTCATTAACAAATCAATGATGCAATGTATCGACCACTATTCATTACTCGAATTAGCTACAGCTTCAGACAACGCACCATGAATTACTCGCTCTCGAAACTTGCTGCAACTCGGACCCGGCCACATGTACTAATGAACATACATATCTAACGCCTGGCGCAAGCTAAGGATGGATTGACGAATGGGTTACTGTCGTTAGTTAATACGAGAGCAACTGATAGTGTCGATTCCACTTTTGGAATAATTTGATCGAGTCTACTCCTTTTCTTAGATAAATCGAGAGTATACGTTTTTCAATTTCCGAAGGCCTGGTTTGAGTTAAATAACCCTAACCCTAGATATGGTTACACATGTGAATATAACAAGCGGGGTAAGTCCTGACAGCTCATGGACATCTAGCTAACTATCTACAGTTCTCACTCTCATCCCTTGCACTTTCATCCCTATACCCCGGCCACTTGTGAATCTTCTCGCTAGTTTTTACAAAACAGGGATCTCGATTCGGGGGCATCGCTACGCAATCTAGCGCTATCTCCGAAGCTTCTCTCATGGAAGTCGCGGCTTCGATAGTGGGGCTTCTGGCTGCCAGTGTACAGGTTGCCGGAATGTTAAAACTCTTCATATATTCAGTCAAAAATGCCCTAGCTACCGCGGAGCAACTCTACAACGAAATCAACCGGTTTCGTTTCATATTGCGCAGAATTCAGGATAAAACTATATCTTCGGATGCCAATTATCTCTCTCCTGAGCGTGCTACTCTCATTGACGTTAATCTTCTCGGTGCCACGCTCACAGCAGCGGTTTCACATTCTCCGAATTAGAGAAGGAGATGGACCGAATAAAAGCTCGCGGAAAGCTGGATTTCTGGGATAGGTAAAGTGGATGAGGTCAGAGAAGAATCTTCTAAATATTTATCTTCGGTTGAATAGACACGAGACGTCTTTAACTCTCATATTTTCAATTCTCACTTGGTATGCTATACTGATCGGAGCCTCTTTTTGCCTCCGTCAATGATTATCTCGACTGGTAATCTATTTATGCTAACTGGACTTCGACGTAGTGAGTCATTGGACTATGCCTTGTCGAGTAAGAAACTTCTTGAAAGCACCTTTCGTGATGAAGCACTAGCCGCTAGTAATGGTAATAGCCAATATTAAAACTTTAATTAACTATTCTAACTCACTCCTTACTCAGGCGAGAGTGATGTGGTCTCTCTCTCCACTGATATCCCGATGGCTGAGACGTCTGCAACCCCAGCGACGTCCGCCAGGCTGGTCGCTAGCCATGAATTTGAATCAAGCTTATCCAGCTCCCGCCCGTACAGAAGAATCAGAGATTCTGATTCCATATTTTCATTGAACACCTTACAGAGTAGGGTGGGGAGGTGGTTCTTGTATACCGCACGTTCAAATGACTCTGTGCTCTCCCTACCTATCTCTCTTCGAGAACTGTCAGGGACAACTCTGGCGGAAACGGAAATTGCTCCCGTGCTCTTACCAACCACTGTATATACCGTATATAATAAGGAGAGATATCAGTCTGACTTTCCAAAACCTGGGGAGCGCAGATGGAATCCGAACACAAACTATGCATTTCTCCAAGCTGCCAAGAAAGGTCGAGTTCTGGAAGTTTTCGATTACCTCAGTGCAAATAATGCTGTCTGCAAAAACGATACAATGCCAAATAGAGACACCGCCTTCACGCTTGCGGCAAAGAACCTGCATGTATCTACGTTGGCGCTCCTCTTACTATACGGCGCGAATTACGACTTCACATCTTTCCACCGCTATGTATCAACCTTCCCCACGACTAGACGTCTTCACAGAACAGCGGTAGCTAATGATGCGACTTCGTGTAACGTATTTCACCTAGAAGCCGACCTTCACCTAGCAACCGATCAAAAAGCAATTATACTCCTACCCGATAATAAAAATTTATTTTCTAGATCTAAGTCTCCTAACAGAATCCCCCGGCTTTGGACTATTACTACTATCATGTACAACATATATTTTCATTTTCCGGGCATTTTTCTTACCACTTTGGGTTGTGACATTTGTATGGGTGCACCTATCCGCTTCCAGCTCTTCCCACTCGCACTCTGAGCCTTCAGGGTCCTGAGTCCCAGGTTCAGCCGGTTCCTCAATTGGAAGCTGTCCCTTTGGACGGCCTCTAACCTTGGTGAGTTTCCTGCCGAGATTTGCGGGCTCGGCGCAGTCTGTATCGGCGCTCTTTGATGTCCGCTCCGCTGCCTTCAACTCTTTTGCTATAGCTCTCGCAGCGGTGATCTTTTGCTTTTCCTCCCATTGATTGCGCAGACGTACAACCTCATCTGTAGTAACTACGAGGGCTTTGGAGAGAACAGCTCTACTTTGTACCCTTGAGGAGTCGGAATTTGCTTTTTCTTTCTTCCTCAAATATGCTAACTCCTGCCATAGGACAACTACCTCTGCTGATGATTCTTCAGCGGCAAGGCCCAGTTTCTCAACCATAATCTGCGCCAGCTTTCTACTAGGTGTTGCATTGCCTACTAAAGCAATGGTGCGCTTGGTGTGGATTGAAATGCTTTTTCCATGACGGGGTGTACGGGGACCCAATGCTTGCTTTTTCTCGGCGTTCAGGGCCTTGGCTTTTTCAAGGCACGGTTCAAGTACCTGGCGGGGATTGAGGGGATATATTCCAGTAGCTTTGAACGCGCTGAGGATGTTTTTGGGTGTATGTGTAAAGGTACGGGCCTGCATCAATAATCTATATATCGGATATCAGTGAAAATTAATAGATAAAAGGAAGAATTTCAGCTTACGGGAAGAATGTCCCCTTATGAATTCCAGTGTTTCCGTTTTGCGCCCAGTCGTCTAAAGCATTTGTATAATGGCGTTGTAGAGGACCAAATAGTCCAACATCTAAAGGCTGTAGTATGTGTGTGGAGTGTGCGGGAAGACAGAGGGGTATAATATCGTTGTCAAGACAATAGGAAAAGAATTCCCAAGTGCAGTGCGAAACATGTCCATCAAGTATCAATAACCGCGTGCGACCATTTGCTCTGTTATAAGAAATTAGTAATTTAACAAACTTGAATGAGGGTAGTAATAAATAGATTGTTACCGTTGAGCTGAGTTAGGACCGAAGTTTTGTGTCAAATACTCTAAACCAATAATATTATTGGTCCACGCTTTCTTTGAATAACTAAAATATGCCTTTCGTCTGCGTTTACCAAACCGTGCCAGCCTTGATACTGTGCTTCTCCTTTATATATTATAAATGGCGGAAGTGCAAAACCCCCAGCCGAAACAGTTTCGATAACTGTGATTAGCTCCCGAACTCCATCCTGAGTTTTGAAGTTTCTTTTTTTGCCCCTCCTACAGATCACTTTCACGCGAGCAGACCTCCCTATTAAAAACCCTTTTTCGTCCATATTATAGGTATCGTCAGGAAGTATATTATGTGTCACAACTACGCGCCGAAGCTATACAATTTATTAGCGTAGTGTGAAACAACATTGAACTCACATACCTGTGTAAAAAAATCTTTCAAAACCGCGGGATTACTGGCATACGAGCGTTGTTTGTCCAGACGGGTTGAAAATTTAGAAGCTAAGTCAGGATGACGAGCGAGAAACCGTGTTAACCAGTTCTTGCCTAGCTTGGGTTTTCAAATTCCATGACTTCTGAGGAAATCTAAAGCCATATCCTTCACATATTGGTGTCGGGGCGGAAAACCACAGTCATCTAATTTCAGGATCCATTTTTTGATAGCTGTTTCCTCGATAGGAGTAAGGTTTTGCTGGTCGGTATGAGCATCTTGACGCGTTCTAGAACCAGCTAATCTGTTTTGAAGGGTAGTGTAGGCTATTCCATGCACGTCCGCTGCCTCCCTAATTGTCTTAATGCGCTTACTATCAAGGTCCCTCCTCGCATCCTCCACCCTCTTGTTGAAGTTCTCCTTTTCCTTTTCACGGCTTCTCCCCATCTCAATGATTGGTTTGGCTGTATTCCGGACTGAATAGTAATCAAAACTGGCCTACAACGAATAGAAAAACCTTTCAACTCAGGTGGGTACAGAGGTTACACAGGACTCACTTCACTGATCGGTTACCCGGTGAAGGTCGGCTTCTAGGTGAAATACGTTAGTGACGTATTGTACAAACTTATACCAATGGGAAGTCTTACTCTTATTTCGATGATATTGGCAAACAATACTGATTCCAAGTTGGAGATTTGACAAGACTTGAGAGGGGGTGCCTATCCAAGTCACCTGACTTTGACTAATCATCTGGGACAATTTCGTTCTATATGGGAACCCACTCGATATCCTCAGTTTATTTCAAGATCCTTGCACTTCTCCGCGGTTGCATGTGATGAGTCTGACATGAAGGACTTGTTCTTGGAATCAAATACCATGATAAATAGGGGCGGACTTGAGTCTATCCGTAATGTATTGGCGCCTGCCGAGGGCGAAGAGAAATCTATCATTTCTATGGCGTTCGTGAAAGTAGAAGAGGTTACCAATCTCTGCCTTGAAGCAGAGTCCATGGAGCCAGGAGATATAGAAATGGTCCTCGGCTTGCTGATTGGCTTATCTGCCACTATGGCCTAACCGCTATTGCCGCGGTGCATGCCAACGTTGATGTCACGAACGGAAGAGGAGAAACGGCGTTACACGCCGTCATACGGGATGGAAAAGAGCATACTATACAGTCCTTGATAAACGATGGTGCAGATGTTAACGCTAGCGATCTGGACGGTATTACACCATTGATGCGAGCAGCGAAAGGTTCTATTTCCCCCATCGACATCGCTTGTCACCTTCTAAGCAACGACGCAAATATCAACACCAAAGATATCCGCAACAGAACAGCTTTGCACCATGCCGCGGAGCGTGGGAATATTCTATTAGTCTGGGAACTGTGCATGAGTGGGGCAGATAGATATGCTAAAAACCTCGATGGTCTTACTCCGGACCAGTGCACTGGCCATGGGCTTATAGCCAGGCTGATTAAGAGATGGCCACAGAGGACTTTGTGAGGACTTTCACAATACGTGAGTGCCCCACCGCAGGTACTCCACCACATGTTGCTAATTAACGAAGAGGGGAAGTGTCGACTACGCGCCAACAACAGCGTTAGAACACCTATGCAGGCCTGTAGGATTGTGTGCCTTTCACATCATCAAGTCTTAGGAGAGTGATTAGCTTCAAAGGAATTGAATTAAAGAGAAGGATATAGTTAGATTTAGGCTTATGTTTCTTCGTCGGATATTATGCATTGTTTAACGTTCATGGAAATGTGTATCAAATAGTTACCCCGGGTACAAAGGTCTTGGTCCATGAACAACATTATGACAAGACTATCGAGCCCAAAGCGGTGGCGTCGAGGTTATGTTATTAATCATTGACCATGACACCTCTTTGACAGCTAGGAGAAGGCCCATCTCACGAACACCAGCAATCGACGAACAACACCAAATTGTTCGCGAAATTTACTAGGTAGTCCGTAAACACCGGAAATTGGAGAACAACTGTGAATTCTTCAGGGAATACCTCGCCAAGTGACGAAGACAGTACTCCAGGGAGTCCGCGAATTGTTCGATACCCCTGCACCCCCAAACGCCACCAACGCCACCAACCCCCCTCGGCAACACCCGCCCCAGCCGCTGTCACACCTCTTGGCATCATTGACACGTGCAACCCTAACCCACCCACCCACCACCACCGCGCAGTTGGCAACCCTAACCCACAAGGCGCCAAAAACTCCCACTGCACGCACCCCCGCACCGCACATATTGCCCCAGCCCCCAACCACAACAAGAACTAGTACCAATACAATCAATGCCCTGGAGTCTGCACTCCCCATTCCTTAACCCCCGCGACACCGATACGCCCTGCAGCCCCCCGCTCTACACCGCCACCACGCCGTCCCCACTGGCAACACCACGCGAGCCCGAGGACGACGGCTTCTTCGGGTACATCTCGCCCGTCGACCCCTCCCCCTCCCCACCGAGGCCCCCGCTACGGTCACCAACACCACCACCACCCCCGCCCCCACCACGGCCACGCCACCGCCGCAGGAACACGCGCCGCCGTGAAAGGTTGCCGGAGCAGGAGGAGCTGTCGGAGAGGGCCAGGAGTCTGCTGGATGCTGCGAGGGTGGAATGGAGGAGGGGGCAAAGGGGGGTGAGGAGGGGTGGGGGGGACGTTTCGATTGTGACGCGAGAGGAGGTGAGAGGGCAGGCAGAAACACCACCGTTGCCGCTGTCCACGGTGGTGGATAGGACGTCGGTTCACGGTAGACGCGGCCAGATCCAGCGCCGGACCAGCGACGCGGCAGGGGAGGGGGAGCTGGCGGCGTCCCACCCCCCGCGGAGGTCTGCGGACGGAAGGCGGCGGACGGAAAGCGTGAGGGACCCGTCGCCGGAGATGGATGATTACAATGGGGTCATGACGCGCATGCCGTCGCCGGATGTCACATGGCCGCCGCCGCGCTTACCGGTCCCGCGGATGCTTTTGGCGGGGACCGTGATGGAAAGGGATATGGAGGCCACAGTTCCGAGAAGACAAAGAGCACCTTCGCCAGATGTCTACGACCCCTTCCCTGTACCCTGGCCAGAGAGTGGGCCATATGAAGGTTTCCGGAGTGCGTTTTGGCTGGATGGAGATGACGGGATCATGACGAGGATGCCGTCACCGGTTATGACACCATTCCCGGGTACAAGGGCATCAGTGGTAACAGTCCCGCCGCAGCAAAGAGAGACAGAGCTGTACCTATCATCTCCTCGGTGGCTCGGTCCATTAGACTTCACCCCGCCGCCGGTTACGCCGTCGCGATGGCCGGTGGTGCTCGAGAGCCCAAACCCAAATACAAATCCCGAGCCGAAGGCAGAATTAGAGCCTATCACAAAGCAAGAAAGGGAACCGGAACCTGAGCTAGAGCCGGAATTGGAACTGACACTCCTAGCTACTGCTGCGCTGCTGGAGAGCGTGGCATCTGACCTCGCGGCTGGCACTCGCCGCTTGGCGTGGAGGAGGATTGAGAGGGCGCTTGGTGCCCTCCGAGACCTCCATATTGTAGGCGCAGGCGCCGGGAGTTCAGACGCTGGAGAAAGGGTAGGCGGGGGTGAAGGTGGGGGGTGTATAATATGCTACTCCCGCCCCGCTAACAGCGTGTTTCGCCCATGTGGGCACCTTGTTCTCTGTTCGGTAAGGCCCCCACCCCTCTACTCCACCCCATCGCATCGAGTGGGAAGGATGGATGGATGCACTAACGGCTGTGATAGGAATGTGTAGTATCCGAGCAGGTCGGTGGCGGGCCTAGTGGGAAATGGCCGGTTGTGTTCTGTCCCGTGGCACACTGTGGGGCTGTGGTGGAGACGGCGGTGAGTTTTGTCTGCTTTTTCTTTTGGGGAGAGGAGGAGAGGGCTAATGTGTGGTAATTGTAGGTCAAAGTGTTTCGGGGGTGATAGGGTGGGGGGGGGGGGTGGGGAATGGGAGGATGGGGGATCGGGGATGGAGGGCACAAGTGGTGATGGAGAGAGTGAGCAGTTGAGTTGGAATGGGATTAATGAACTTGTTGTATCAATAATGTAAACTGCATGCAGGAAATTCAAAAAGAGAGAGTATAAAACGAATAGTTACCGCATCACCTCCGTGAGTCAGGCTCCGACTGCATATCCGCCGGGTGGCTTATCGACACCATCGGCACAGCGTTAAAGCTGCAAACCAATTAGTTGGAAAAGAAGTAATGATGAAATCTGGATGTGTTGATTAGGAGAAGAGGGGGAGAGAGGGAGGAAAAGGCTCTTCTGCGACCAATATACTCACTTGTCTTAATGACACGTTTCCCGTTACAGCTGCTCTCTTAGGTAGTGATCACCTCGATGAGCCTAAAATAATGACTAACCTTATGGTTGCCGGTTAACGCGAGAAACCTGATTGTGCGGCGAAGACCGAGTGACAGCCCATGAATCGGTTAAAATACCGAACCTACCCGTAGGGATTCAGAGGTTACGGCCTGTTCCCCGATTATTCGGCGCGTACGCGACGAATCAATATGGATTGGGACTTTAACGTTAGCGCATTATAAACCAATAAAGGGCAACGGGGGATCCCAGTACGAGTGATAAACAATGAAGCGAGTGCTCATCGGTGATGCATAGTACCCATTGATGACAAGTGTTTTTTTTTAATCCGATTACTCAGGACTGAGAGGTGGTACCAGAGAGTTTACAGTTGCTGTATACTGCGGTTGGTCGAATTGATTTGGAGGACTGCACTACCCGCCGGAGTTGAGGGTGAGTATTCCATGTCTTGGCAACCTCAACACAGCCAGTACTTTCCACGCAGTGTTTATATCCCATTCTTCCATTGCGGCAAAGGACGAGTCCTAGCACTAGCTCATAGCCGCTGAAATTCTCGCAGTGAACTTTCCTCAGGATCACATGCACACCGCGTGCTGTAAGACCTCCTAGAAGAGTGATTATATACACTCCTCCAGCAGCGCAAGTGGTTCTTTCTTTCACGGGCGCTATGCGCGCCGACAGACCAAAGCTACATACTAATCTAATTAATATGGTGTGCGCAAACAAGAGAATCGAATTGCCCCAAAACCTTGCCGCATCGGGGTTGGGGGTGGGGGTGTGCCAAGCCTGTTGCCTTGGCAACCCCCGCCCCATCAGACTTTTTAAGCCAACAGAAAGAAAAAGACATGGCTGAAAATATTCAGCACCTACGAGCGGGAGGCAGTAGGTACCGGGTGTTGAGGGTAAGTGATCAGAATCTGATAAGTGAATGTTACGGTGAATAGGTGTATTTGTCTTATCAGATTCTGATCACTTTTCGCTACACCCTAGTACAAACCCTCCAACGCGAATCGCGGCAGACACTCTAACTGTGTCAAATATCTACAATCGGGAGGGCATAGCTATTGAATGCGCTTACCTGATCGCACCAAGCTCAACTAGTTAGTGGAGGATGAATTTTTTTTTCAATTGTTGCAACGGTGGTGGCCTGGAAGGTCTCTACCAGGATGCAGCATGTCAACTATGGATTCACAGGGTCCCGTGAGATACTCGAGGACGTGTTTAGAACAGGGTGAAATACTCGAGCTGTTGGGGACTGGGGTTAATAACTGCATGATACTTCGGGTGGCCGATGAGATATGACAAAAATGCGGAATTCCTCTTCAACGGTCCAGCTAGATGTATCTGCCTCACTCTTGACGGATTGTTTCCGCTAAATTTTACTTAAATAACCCTAACCCTGCACCAGTCCCTTCCTCCCGCTCGATCGGGCGTGGTTTATAACCGGTTTATCACCATGTTTCTTACTCCCAGTATCTTACTCGCGAATATTTCACGGGACCCTGATGGAGAAGCTTACTACTGTTGCGCCGTTGGTACCTGCGTCGGGTGCTAATGTGGAGCAAGTCTTGGTATCTTGGCATCTTGGCTGGTTCCGGTGGGAACGGAAGGTGAAGCAAAGGCGAACCACCAATGAATCAGTCAAACAAACATGAACAGGAAGGTACGTAAATTCTTGCTCCTCTATCCTTAACCCTAACCCTAACATGGCTATCTAAAGCTTAACAAGCGACGAGTCAGCTCTACATATAACGACACTTCAGCGGCCGAAAACCGAAAATGACGGCGAAGAAAGTATGATGAGAAGGGGAAAGGAAATCCAAATGGAATATGGCCCACTGAATGTGATTTATTGTTGGAACGATATATGTACCTATATGATCGGAATTGACGACATATAACATTATATCGAACCAGAATACCGTCCGGAATGAACTTGAATGACGCAGAGGTATAACCTGGAAGACCGGACAAGAATGGGCTTTGAATTTTGCAAAGTTTCACAACGCCACTAATACGTGGTTTTAATTGTACATGTGCTCCGATGGGAAAAAGGCCAGATGTCGGCGAGAAAAGAGCAAATATGTACAAGTAAATTATGAGATCTATTGTGAGAGTTCAACACCATGAATCCAAGCCGTAAAAGCTCCGCTCGTGTACAAAGATTGAATTAAAAATGCCAACAATGGGATGAGCAGTAGTCCAAGCAAGACACCAGTTGAAGGCCATCGCGTATTCCACACCTCGTGAGATAGAGGGCCGAGAGCTGGGTCTGGTGACGGATGGACAGAGCCGCTGGTCTGTACTACCTCTGACTTGTCCTCTTTTTTACTCCCATCCCTTTTCTCCTTCTTCTTCTCTTCCACCTCTACCACTTCCTCCTCCTTCTCCACCTCTTCCACCTCCACCTCCTCCTCCTCATCATCATCATCATCATCTTCATCTTCCTCGTCTCCTTCCCGCTCGTCCTCAAGACAATCCTCAAAGTCACTGACATCAGTTAGCTCGGCCTCCAATATATCATCCTCCTCCGCCTCAGGACTAGGCCCCGTAGCCCCCCTCCATTCCCACACAGACTTCCATCGATTCCCTTCCTCCAAGTTCATATTGTCAACCTTCCGGCTCGACAGCCAACTAAACTTCACCTTCCTGTACAACACCGCAAACACCTGCTCACCCACCGCCTCGAACTGCAGCTTTCTGACACTATCCTCGCTCTGCCTCCCCGAACCAGCCGGATTCGGGAATGCCATATTGAGCGCTCCCGGGGGTGCGAATGCACGAACAGGGAGAGAACCTCCGCCGTCTGAAGAACTCTTCCCGCTGCCATGAGACTTGAGAGATGCACCACTAGCTGTTCTGTAGCCAACAATTAAGTATACATTCTTTCTGCGCTCGATCGCATTCTGGAGCCATTCACGGGTGGCCGGATTCTTGCACGCATCGCGGAACCAGGTCTCGTTGTTTGAGAGATCGTAGGTGGTAGCGTTTGGTGCTGTAAGGGTGGCAGTGGACGTGCTGCTGTTCTTTTTTCCGAAGCTGATCAGGTCCCCAAGATTGAAGTTGTTGCTGCTGCTCTTGCTGAAGCGCCTTGTTTCGGACAGAGAGGTGTGTTGAACAATGCGCTTTTCGGAGGCATCTGGCCTAGGGGCGAGAGGGTCATGGAAATTGTAGTGAGGACGGTTGGCATTTGTTGTGAGACGGCCGAGGGAGACGGTGTCGGGATGTAGAAGCGTTTGGGGGATATGCGCGGTACTCATGAGGAATACCCTGCAAGGCTGCTCTGGGTCAAATGATAAGAGTACTATGCGGGTATCTGAGGAGGGATACAGGTACGTTCGGCTTGTTTTGGGACATTGACTGAGAGGGAACTTGAGGTTTAAGTATATCGATCTTTTAGACTTCAACTGCGCACCGGAATCAAGGCCAAATCTTGCGTTAGCAAGACTACTGTTCAAAGAGGAGAATATTTGACTTTTTGACTTATCGTGTAACCATGAAACGTATTCCGCCACCACAATACTGCAGGAGCCTCTGCCGCACAGAAAGTATTCACATTTAAACTAATACATCAGATAATCGGTCGAATTATTTTGCAAAGCGTGACTCGTACTGTTTCAGATCGGAGGAGATACCACTTGCCGATTGTACAATTCACAGGTTTCGAACCTGTCTGGTCAGATATAAAATTACTGATGTGACGCGCGCAGGGGATCATGTGAGAGTATATGCAGCTACAGAAACCACTGTACCTACATCTACTGCTTTCCATGCGTGACGGTAGTTCGACTTATCTCGGACTTGCCTGCCGCGTTATGATTAGAGCCTTCTATTTCTTGAAATTCCAGGTAGCTGAGTTCTGATTCGAGGCTTCCGGTTGACCCGAATTTTGAATTTTGAAGTAGAGGTGAAACTCATGCAGCTCAAGTTGCATATGTTTCTGCAGCTGATATACTAATTTGTAACAGTTAAGAGAGTCTTTTAACTTTGTCCATTGAACAGAAAGTTCAGCAGTTTTAGGAAGGGACTTACATTCGTTAAGCCGACAACATGTGCAGGACACTTTGTCGAGGTGCCTGACTTCCTGTCCAACCCCTGCAGCTAAAAGACTGTAATGTTTAATATCTGGAGTATTCCTCAATCTTCACCTGCAGGATGCTTTATTTCTCGGCAGTTCGATGCACCAGGACGGGCACATGCCCGCAGGAGTTTGCTTTCACTTTGAGAATGGGCAAACGGGGACCGATCGAAACTTCTATTGTGTAACTCGCTAAGCGCTGTAGTTTGAGGACAAACCACTCAACGGAGATAGACTATTAGGATTGAAGTTCCAGTGATTCCAACAGTTGAAACCGATTTTGTTTGGGGGGCATACCACACCAAACTTAACCGAATAACCCCCAACTGAACTTAACCTAACCAAACTGAATACGGGGCTACATAAACCGGTTTTGAAGCTACAATCGCTCCTTAATTTGGTCGGAGGTTCACTATACTTCGTTGGGGTTGGTAACAGTTAGGCGTTCTGATAGAGGGAGATCCACCATGCAAAGACTCAGTCCACTGAATACTCCCTCTGCAATAGCGTTTGAGTAATTCCGAAAGGTGATTGAGGACCGGAACTGCCCTCTACACCACGAGCAATATCACGCTAGAACTGTTTATTGAACTGGTTTGAACTGGTTTTCAATCAAGTTAAGCCGTTGAAACTGAATTAACTCAGGGCAAAGAACTGAACCAAAGTATTGACAAAACTTGTCTTCTGAAATCGGTTTTTATGGTAGAACGGGTGAAACGTTGGAAACACTGTTTCGAACTGGACAACTTAGCATGTGAGAATCGCCGGGATGGTTCCAAAATGGCGGAAGTGATTTCGTGCAAGAAAACTTTTATCTAGGTAACGGTCTATGTTTTACACCCTGGGTAAGTCTTCAATTCAACTCGCCGGGCTTACCCGTTGCGGGGCCGAGACCCGCTGGAGAAAATGCTTAGGTGCCCGATTGCAATGATCGAGATCTTCCAACAGCGACTCGAGCATAAGGTGTTATCTATTCAATAAATATGTGAGCAGATTTATGAGTCAATATTAACCAACCAACCCAGGCTTCGTAGTTGAAACTTCAATACTAGGGTCGATACTAATTTCTAATCACCTGTGTACAGAAAGCTAATCGACATTTGTGGTAGATAGTATATACGGCCTGTTTCAGGTGATCAAAGATGCCTCGTCGTCTTCGTATATCGCCTGATCTAATAGCCCCTGGTGCTGAAACGTACTCGAACGGAGTAACGTGGCGCATATACGAATGAGGTCGCCTTATCAGTTGTAGGAATTTATTATGTCGGCCAATATCACTTGGTCATAATGCAGCCTCGCCGCAGAAATCCAAGGCTGAATGAATCCACACCTAGAGTAGATCTGCTCAGGAGGTCTAGTTGCATTGTCCCGACGCTTTTGAACTGGGCCACAATTACGTACACCAAAAACCATGATTTTTATATGTGCAAATTTCTTTTTTAAAAAGTCATCCTTTCATTGGGGCACAAGAATGTGGCATTCAGCTAGCTACTGCTACGGCGTGAACCATTGTATTGTGGGCAGTATTGGTCGAGCCTATAAACCTTAGGAAAGCACGAATACACAATGGCTCTAAAGTTTGCTTACAATACACCGAATGGCGTTATTAATCGCTTGTTACCCGAGGATCGAAGTGCTGCGTTGGCATGCATGCAGGGATCGAAGTCTGGTTGGTAAACACCCCCATGCCTATCACGAAATAGCAAAAATTAGATGAGACCATTCATGAGAGTTCAGTACCTTATTTTATCTCTGAAAGTGTCTTGAATCGATATGACGCGTTATTTCTGTTTGGTGATCAGAACGAATATATGCTCAGTCAACATAAACCGACATGTAGTTTACCATATCTGGTTTCCGGCGGTGGTGCGGCTGTGTGCGTGCAGGGTGAGGGACGTTTTCTTTTCTTTTTTCTTTTTTGTTAAGACTGAAACTTGTTGTTCTTGGTTAAACCTATTGTCTTTGATGAAGTGGTCTATATACGATTCGAATGCCGGCCATCATTACTGCCGAAACAACCTGGCTAAACATCTTCTTATGTAAGGTGAATTCCTCCCTTCCTGTTTTAATGGATACGCACATCGCCTTTATTATCTCCCTTCGGAAACAAATAAAACTCACGATTTTCGTAGTCACTTTCTCTTCGTCCACTTCCTCCGAAGATAAAGAAGTGTCCTTTCCAAATTCTGCCCAGTCTTGCCAGCATACTCCGGGGTAATTAGTCTAGATTTCGATGTAAGGCAGCTTTTGTCTCATATAAACTAAACGAAGACAAAGGACTAACATAAGTTTAATTGTGAAGGGCTCACTCCGGAACTCCTTCGCCCAACACAGGCCCAGCCCAGGGAGATATATCCCCAGAAGACGGGGCTTCGAAGTCCATAACCAGCGCTATTGCGTCACCGACGAAGCATGAGGATTATATTTCGAAACTAAGCCGCGAGATCGAGGCTATCGAGGAAGAGTTTTTGAAAGTTAGTTCTTATCCGGATGAGGATGACAGCGACAGTGATCTCCGTAAATCGATAGTACTAGCACACCGCCATGGGCGAACACTGGTGGATAGATTCAAAGTTTTTGAGGAAGCTGGAGATCTAGAGAAGGCGACATCCGATCTAGAAAAGGCCATCGAGCGGTTCAGTTACGTACAATCAAGACCGTTGTGCAATGGTGTTCCGCGACAGGATCTATTGTGGGTCTTATGCAACCTACTACTGAGGAGATATTCACAGTTTCACTCCCTGAGCGACTTAGACTTCGCCATTCAATGCATGGAAGAATCGCGCGGAACCATAGGTCTCCATTCTCCTAATAGTCCGCATGTATTTCGCATGTTGAACTCCCTATATCGTCGTCGTTTTGAGCGATCGCAAGCCATGCAAGATTTAGAAAAAGCAGAAGAGGTGATAGAGAGCGCACTCGAGGCCACGAATGCTAATCACCGGATGCGTGCATCACTGCTCCATATGCTCTCCACCACCATCCTAAAGCGATACGACCAAACTCAGAACAAGGCAGATCTAGATCTGGGTATTGAGCGAGAAAAAGAGGCTATAAGCGTAGCACTCCCACAGGACCCCGCTAGGGAAGATATCTTCCGCAGTATGGCGGCGATCTACCTAATACGGGCCGATCATCTTGGTCAGGCGGATGATATCGAACAGGCTATATCTTGGGCTGAGCAAGCAGTAGGGCTGCCTATAGTTAACAATCAAGTTAAAGCAGAATCAATCCACATACTAAGCACTGCACTGCTTGCCCGATTTGAGCGCAAATGGGACATTGATGATGTTAATCGTGCCATTAATCTGGCACAAGAGGCGATAGGTCTCATACCTATGTATACGTGGAACCAAACTAATATCTTTAACACTCTGGGCGGACTGTATTTGTCGAGGCACCGGCATACCGGGGACTCTCAAGATCTTGATAAAGCGATCGAAATTGGAGAAGGGGCTCTCTCACGAAGCAGTGAGGAGGACCCTAGCCGCGCTTTGTATCTTACCAACATTACTCAACTCCTGTTTCAAAGATCTACACGTTATCACAATCCAGAAGACCTTAAAGAGGGCACGAGGCGAATTATCGAGATACTTGCAGTGACTCCGCTGGATGACCCTCAAAGGCCTCGGAGATGCTACATCCTCGCCGCTTTTTATAAAATGAGATACGACAATTCCGGAAATTTGATAGACCTCAATAAGGCAATAGAGCTCAGCGAGGAAGCTTTGCAGCTATTCCCCCCTACACATATTAGTCGTTTTCAGGTTTACAATTTACTGGCCAAAGTGTACACCCTCCGATACCATCGGTTAGAAGGAGTTGAGAATATTGAGTTATCAATTGAATGGGCCAGGAAGACATATAGTGCGATAGGATCTCCGAGGGCAGACCGCTCTGCTGCTTCGATGACCCTTGCAAGGTCACTTATGAATCGCTTCAAGCACAAAAAGAAGAAGGATGATATTCTGGAAGCAAGAGATGTTATAGAGAGGGAGCTATGCGATACTCCTCCCGACTTTGAGCCTCGGAAGCAGTCACTACATACTGTAATGGCTGAGGTGTATCGGAATCTGTACGACGCTTATAATGATCCGGCAGATATAGAGCAGTCTATCAAGTCTATGGGGGTGTCCTTAGCAGCAAGGCCAATGGATGCACCTGATCGAGCAATTGGTCTATATAACCGCGCCATCATAGTTATGTGCCGATATAGAAACAATCCCTCCAGCTCAGATTTGCATTTCATTCTCCACGATCTTTATGAAGCTTGGAACACGCCACTGGCACGTGGAATGACTCGGGTCACGGCAGCAACGTTCGCATCCAGATTACTGATCACGTGGAGGAGGTGGCAGGAGGTATATGGTCTATTGGATATGGTTGTGAGACTGTTACCTGTGGCTTTGGATTCCCGACGTAGCTCAATTAGAGAAGATGAAGAGCACAAGTTGGCCGTAATCAAAGAGCTCGCTCCAAATTTCGCCTCAGTGGCATTCCTCCTGGGGGAAGACGCATCTTATGGTTTGAGGATACTGGAACTTGGGAGGGGAGTGATTATAGGGTCCATTATCGACCGCAGGAGCGACCTCTCAGTGCTACTATCAAAACACCCTCCGCTTTATGCAGAATATCATCGCCTTCGAACGGTCCTCGACGCTCCAATCTCGGAGGTCAATGATAGCACTCTCACGGATTCCGAGGCAACCGTGCGTTATGAGAAGGACAGGGTGGGGAGAGAAAATGCCGTCGCTAGTTTCGAATTGACGCAGGCCTCTATTCGTGAAATGCCTGGATTTGAAGGATTTCAATTGCCCCCTCGCTCCGAGGAGCTCATGAAAATGGCTTGTGATGGTCCGATAATAATGGTAAATAGTACCACAATACGTAGCGATGCTATTATTGTCACTACAGCCTACATACGATCACTGCAACTTCCCAAGCTCGAGTACGCTGTGGTGGAAGAAAGAATGGCACAGCTGATCCAGACGGTAAAAGGGGGACCATCCACATACAATAAAAGAAATGAAAAGATGGAAGAGCTGTTGCTCTGGCTTTGGGAGAGCGCGGTGAAGCCAGTCATGGATATCTTGGGATTCACACTAGGAGGTCCCCTACCCCGAATCTGGTGGATTGGTATAGGACCACTTGCGGTGGCGCCGTTTCACGCGGCTGGCAGCCATTCCCCTGGATCAACACAAAATACCATGAGCTATGCTATATCATCCTATATACCAACAATAAAGGCGCTTTCGTTTGCTCGAGAAAGATCCCTTAGGCTCAAATCAGGCTTTCGTCTCCTTCTGGTTAGCATGCCCACAACCCCAGGCCATAATCAACTGCCCAGTGCAGAGACCGAAGTCACGAAGATCATGGACTCAATTAAAGGAAAAGCAAACTCAACTCATCTGGTACACCCGGGTGCTTCCCAAGTACTCGACTCACTTCCATCATTCAACGCAGTTCATTTCTCCTGCCACGGTATTTCCGATGCAAAAACCCTTCGAATAGTCATCTACTTCTCTGTAAAGATGAAGTCGTTGACCGACTTTCTGTTGAGGGTATAACGAATACAAACCTCAAAAACGCTCAGATAGCGTACCTATCTGCTTGCTCGACTGCAGAGAACGCGTCAGACTCGATACCCGATGAATCGATATACATAGCAAGCGGTTTTCAGCTTGCCGGCTTTAGTCATGTCCTTGCCACGAAATGGGAATCAAACGACGCTGCCTGTCAGAAAGTCGCTGTTGATTTTTATAAAAACCTGCTCCGAAAGTCTGTGACGTGTGGGAAGTACGAGGGTCATGGTCGGGTTGCAGCCGCGTTTCATTATGCCGTCGATAAATTGCGCCGGAAACATTGGGAACAACCAATAAAGTGGGCGACGTATATTCATACCGGTGCGTGAACGTCAATTAAGAGAGTAAGTTCCCACATAACATGAGCAATCCATTATCATTTTCTGAGAATATTGAAGTTGTTAATAGCGGGGCCCCCCATAAACACACCATATTTTCTTTAGTCTTTGATCGCGCTGGTGCATGTACCTAGAAGTTACTTTTTGAATGGTAGTTCACTCCGTTGTGCTTGTTAGGTACAACTTACCGTTTTAAAGCAGTCATGAAATCCTTCCACGCCTGTTCGTGGTGTTTCTTAGAATCTAGATCATAGTTTCCTTTTCTCAGCGCGTCATCCATTTTTCTTTGATGCTTTTCATTATTTCAAATTTTCATATGGGTTTCATAATGCGTAACGGGTTAGAAGTAATATATTTTCGATTTACATAGTAAATGATCTAAACCTTTCTACACCTCTCCAACTATATGTAGTGATATGAAAAACACTTCCAACCCTCGGGGTCTTGGCAATGTCTTGGCGAAAACGGAGAAGACACATACATAAGTGCACTAATGACGAGGTTTATGATGAGTGAGTTCGTAAGGAAGTTTCGGAACTAACTTTGGCGTTAGACGTGAATAAACAGTAACAGCCGCGGTGATTGATCTCAGGGGATAGAGATTTAATTCAACCTCCCCTTGTATCCCATAGTCCGTTAAAGCTGTCTATTGATTCGGGCGGCGTATTTTCAGCTGTGGCTTGTGTCTGGATCACACACATATTCGGCTGCCACCCTTCCTCTTTTAGTAATTATAATATTCTGTCAAATAGACAGCATCTAAGGCCCGGATTATGGGATAGATGAAGTCAGCTAGCTAAGCGATGGTTTGTAAGACCAAAACTTCGGTGCAACTATACACCCCCCCCCCCGCCCTATCAACTTCTCCACCGACGGTTTATATAATTCAGTATTTGCAACGCGATGTCGGTTTAACGGTACAAACAGGTACAAAACTAAGGATAATAATGGGACATTTAGAATAGTTTGAGTTTTAGGCGATGGTGGTTGTGCTGAGACATCATAAACCGATACAAACCAACAAACTAAATGGTACAGAATATCGTTTTTCCGCTTCCTTCGGTAGAACCTTTGACCCTCCGGAGCAACATTCAGCTCTGAAACACCTATCCCTTAACGTGTTGATGCTGACCGCCCTATAACAGAGGAATTAGACTTGTATGAGAGATCTACTATTTGATAAGAGAGATAACGGGAGCTGTTAATAAAGACACACCAAATTTGCTTTTGTTTGGTGGGTCAGCATTTTTACAACAGCTTAAGGGATACACCAAGAACCCTAACCCACATATCATTTTGTTAAATGGTATTACCGTTTAAACCTTGTTGGAAGAGGTGGCTAAATAGTTAGTGCGATTTTGAGGTCCTGGTGCTACGTACAGTACGTACAGGTAGTACATACAATACGGTGAAGTTTTCATACTTGTCTCTACTACGGTGGGAAATGTATCGTGGTAATGCATCAGTAAATGCATCCCCGGGCACCTTTCATGCACCATGACCAAAATAATGAATCCATATAATGCATCGGCAAATGCATCCACAGTCCCACTTTAAGATTTTACTGCTGAGTTTATCATTTAAATTTCAGTCAATTCATCAGTCAATTGGTCAGTCAATTCTTTAGTCAATTCTTCAGTCAATTCATCAGTCAATTGGTCAGTCAATTCCTTAGTCAATTCGTCAGTCAATTCGTCAGTCAATTCGTCAGTATATGGATCGGTAAAAATAAACTTGAAATACAATGTCGGAATTGAACTTGCACTATTTTGCTTAACTATCTCACGTCGTACCAACTAGGCTACAGCTATCGTTTGATATATTGAGTCAATAAATCGGTGCTATATCAACTACAGGCTTAAGAAATGTATAAAAATCTACCAAATCCGAAATTGGGACGGATATCAAATATCTTGACGGGCAGCATATATCAACACTCACCTATATGATGACTTTACTAATGATATCCCAACAAGAACACATTAACTGATGTATCTAATTTATAAAACACATTTACTAACATTTACTAATACATTTACTAATAGATTTACCAATTTATTCATCCGATGAATATATTAAACGACGACTATACCTATTACTTTACCTATCAATTACTACACTAGGACAGATTTTAAACACTAACAATTTTCCATGCAATTTGCCATACCACTTCTCGCACGAATTTCTGGACAAAACTCGTCAGTAAATGTGTTCATGGTAGATTATCATCAGTAACGTAATTGATAATGCATGGATAATGCATCCATCATACCATTTTGCATAACTCGCAACAGGTTATGCATCAATTGATGCATTTACGTGCCCGGCTCACGTGTGAAATGCATCATTTGATGCACTTACCGCCGTGGTAGGGTGTCTGTACCATTGCAAACACTGTTTATATTAAGACACATATATACCCGGAGACAATCAATGACAAGAACAATCAATCTTTTCACTTCTACCGCACAAATCCCTGGACATATGTATGCGATATAAGGTCTATGAACTACAGCGGAGTCCCGATAGTAGCATACGGTTGGGAATGAAAAAGGGTATGTCACTATCGGGAATATGCTGTTAGCGAGACTGGCTCGGCGTTGGCTTGGCGCCGAGCTGACCGAGTGATAATCCATGATCGGTCTCGAGGTGTTGCGGGTGGCCTCGAGGGGGTAACGGGTGGATCAATAATGGCTTCGAACACAACCACCATTGCCCCTAGAGGCCTATAAATTATAATGAAGATAGAATAGATAGTATAGATGAATATTTAAATTTTTCTAAAATATCCTACAATGTTTCTCTCTTTTTTCCTTCCATTCTCTAGCAATTCCCTTTGGATAACTGACTTCTTCTCCCTTCTAACCCACTCTGCCCCCGCCACCTCATCCTCTTGCTGCATCTCATATAGATGAAGACGCTCTAGTGCCGCAATTGCCTCTTTATGAGATATAACTTCAACAGGTATATCTTCCAGTTCCTCCTCAACCTGCTCTTCAGCCTGGTGATATTGTTGTATAATGCTATCCTGAAATTGAATTAGTTATTATGCAGCACAGTATAGGGGAGTGTTAATACCTCTATTTCCCGTTCAGTAAGCTCCTCGTCCTATACTATCTCGTCTGCATGATCCAGTAATTGCTCAATCAATAATGGATTATGAATGTTTAATGCGCCTGAAACTGCCTCTAACTCATCCTCTAACCTATTCATCTCCATCCTCACCTCTCTGTCTGGGTAGCGAAGGTGTAGGTTATCAGGTATTCCTGGTCCATATACCTTAACCTTCGCCTTTAGGAAGCAATTCTGAATTGTGGTTTCCTTGACTCCTTCCCTCCATGCCTCTGTGGACCAAGAAATTGCATGTAGCAAATTGATATATTTATGGGGTTCAGTTAAAGCAGCATCTTTGTCTAGACACTCGGTGAGGTAAAGAAGCATATGACGCCGGTAGTAGACCTTCCAAGCTCGTATAATACCTGAAAACAAATTAGTCAAAAAAACCCGAATTTTGCAGGAGACATATACCTTGATCCGTAGGTTGATGTTTAGAGGTGATTCCGGGTAAAAAGAATAGCACTTTAACATGAGTTAAGTGCCCCTCCTTCTCTAGCTCTTCTACAGCACAATTATGAGCCGAGAAGTTGTCAAGTAGAAGAATAGAATTCCGCCTCCTTGCACTCATTCTGTTGTTGAACCACAGCAACCATTCTTTCATTATAACAGTCGTCATCCAGGCTGTCTTATTTGCACGGTGATGACAGCCCAATGTATTTCTGTTAATATTACTGAATGCACGAGGATTTTGAGACTTTCCTATGAACCATGGGGGACATTTATCGCTGGCATCCGCATTTGAACATAAAGCAGCCGTCATCCTATTTTTGTCTTTTTTGAAACCAGAGGGCTGTTCGGTTGTAAGAGATGAATCAGGTGTCATTCGCCAAAATAATGCCGTCTTATCCATGTTGTAAATCTCGTATTGCTCCTTATACATAAGGATGTCCTGTATCGCCCGCATAGATTCCTCCACCTCTTCATCGTCTGGAGCCGATGCAGCCTCCCCATGCTGAATGAACTGGCGAATACCGTAGCGCTGCTTGAACCGTGATAGCCATCCTGTTGACCATTTCGGCTCTTCAGACTCTGGGAGGTTCTTATACATTGGCAGATTGACCCAAAAAAAATGGGCCTTGTGCTGTAGGATCATGCCTGTTATATTGGTCCGAGTCTGCATCCTTTGATGCCATTCAAATAAAGCAGCTTCAAGTCCGGGGAATTTGCCCTCTTTTATACGCTTCTGTTCTGGCCTAAACTTCTCATCAGAGGTGGGTGGATCTCTTTTCTTCCAACGACTAATTTGTGACTGATCTGGTGCCTTTCCCGTATGGTTATCTGCAAACCATTGCTGTACCTGTTTCCATGTTTTACCCGGGTGTAGATTACAGTAGGTCTGTATTTCCAGCTTTTCTTTTTGGGACCAGGTCTGGCGGGCAGGGGCAGAAGAAGAGGAAAGACCTTGAAGGGCGGCTTCTTGTGACATCGTACAAGTTCAAAAATGCGGAAACAGTGAAGCAGACCACCTCAAAAATGCGGAAATAGTGAAGCAGACCGCCCCAAAAAACACGAAAATAGTTCAATATTTATATTTTTTACTCTCCCACATTCACCTGTATCTGTGGCCGTTTGGGACTGCTAATACGTATTTTTTTTGTTTTTTTTTATTACGCACTATATACCCATACTAGCATATTTTTGGGTTGGCGACCTCAGCATATGTCACTACCGGGACATGCAAATTTTCTCTTAGTAATTTTGTTGGGAATGCCCGATCATATGCTACAATCGAGACTATGATTATATCGAGTATGCTACTATCGGGACTCCGCTGTAATTGATATCTCAGAATATGGGTACCTCTCGGTAGCACCTCCGACATTCCCCCATGATGATGTCCGGCATTAACCGTCATTGCTAAGGAAAAGGGGGGGAGGAGCTAGGGAGAGAAGAAAGAAATTAAAGAAACAAACGAAAGAACAGATGAATGAATTTGATCTCGAAATACAGTTTTACTAGTCAAACCTAGCTGCCACCTAACTAGGTGATGATATGTAACGTCTATGCTTACGAAAAATATTCTCACCGCTTTGGAAGATGAAAGCGTAAGGATAGTAAACTCATGCAAGGAAGCCGCCTGTATTTCGGTGGTGAGAGGAGTGAAGCGAAGATAATGAAACCGATAGAGGAAACGTGCTTTGACAATCAAGCATTTGCAAAGGGTGAGGAGGGTATTCATATGGTGTTACAAGCCGTAGGCATTATCCCAAGTACTCAGCGCCGTATTGTCACGAAGATCCTGTGCAGGCTCTTCAATCAACAAGAATACAATATCGTGGTGGTCTTCTTCAATAGCTATGTCTATTGCCGTCGAACCGTCCTCGGTTAAGGCCATTGAGTCCGCCCCTCTGTCCAACAGGAGCTCTATCAACTCCTCGTTGCCCTCCTGTGCAGCAAAATGTAGAGCTCGCCACCCATCATCCGTAGTTGCGTTGATATCAGCACCTCGATCGAGTAGAAGGCGAGCCACATCTAGATGCCCCTTCCACGCCGCAATATTGAGTGCGTTCCATCCTTCCGTCCCGGCCCGTTCGGATACATATGCACCACCGTCTAATAGCATGCTTACCATTTCCAGATTACCTTGCTGTGTGGCGTAGTGTAGAGCATTGAAACCCCTATCGTCCTTTCTCGATGTTTTCGCGCCTCTATAGATAAGGAGGCTCGCCACTTCCACATGACCCTCCTGAGCGGCGAGATGTAACGCATGAAGGCCGTTGTTGTCCTGGTGGTTGATATCTGCTTTTTTGTCAAGTAGGAGTTTTACCGTTTCGGTATCTCCGACATGCGCAGCGACGTGTAGAGCATCCCAGCCGACTTTATCTTTTTCCAACACATCTGCGCCCCTTTCAAGAAGCGCTTTCAGAACTGCCAGATGGCCTTTCCTTGCAGCTAAATGTAAAGCGCTCCAACCCGAATTTTCCTTTTCCGATAGAACAGCCCCGCTCTCCAACAACAGATCTAGGACCTCCGTATGCCCCTCGTAGGCAGAAATATGCAGAGCATTCCAACCATTGTCCTTCTTTCGCTCACTTATATCGGCACCTCGGTCAAGCAACAACCTCACCACTCCTACATGGCCCTTCCATACTGCAATATATAATGCTGTCCATCCCTCGGTCCCAGCCCCTTTGGACATATCCGCTCCATACCCCAGAAGTAATTCCACTCCCTTCAGATGGCCCTGGTATATTGCGTGGTAAAGAGCAGTGAACCCACGATTATCCGCTTCCAATATGAAGGCACCTCGAGATAATAGCAGCCCTATGACTTCCAGATGACCTCTCTCAGCTGCGTGATGCAGTGCATTGCATCCATTAGCCTTCGTTGCAGATATGTCCGCGCCATGATCAAGCAAAAACCGTACTACATCCGAATGGCCGTTCCGTGAGGCGATGTGAAGAGGGTTAAATCCATTGTCCCCAACCATCGCAAATAGATCAGCGCCTCTTTTATGGAGCACTTGTACTGCATCTAGGTGGCCTCCTTGTATGGCAAGATGCAGAGCATTGAAGCCTGCGCTTTGCCTTGTTGATATGTCGACGCCTTCATCCAGTAGGAGCTCCATCAGCTCCACATCGCCCCAGTAAGCAGCAATGTGCAGAGCATTCCAATTGTTGTCTCCTCTCCTCGAGTCAATATCGGCACCTCTACGGAGGAGAAGTTGAACCACATCTAAGTGGCCGTTCCACGCGGCTATAAGCAGCACAGACCACCCCTTAGCACCAACACGCTCCGAAATATCGGCGCCTTGGTCAAGCAGCGCATTCACTGTAGCCAGTTTGCCATTCCGCCCAGCCATATGCAACACGCTCAAGCCATCACGATCCTTGGATGATAGGTCGGCCCCTTTCTCAAGCAGTAGGGGGACGATGTTCGTATGTCCTTCTTGTGCGGCTATGTGTAGTGCAGTACGGCCGTCGGTTTGCTTTTCGTTAACCTCCGCGCCTTTATCTAACAGGTAATGAATGAGAGTAGAGCTTCCACATGCGGCCGCGCCATGTAGTGCAGATAAGTGCCTGCTTCCCGTTGCCTTGATATTTGCTCCGTTCTCTAACAATATCTTTATGGCTGGGAGATGGCCATTTCTCGCAGCGGAATACATTGGTGTCTCTCCGGAGCTGTCCTCGCCCATTGGAAGCGCCCCTTTCTGAATCAGTATCTTGATTAATTCACATTTCCCACCTTTAGCTGCAGCTACCAAGGCATGGTTCATTTTCACTGTGCCACGCTAATCAGCCTGGACGATATCTGTTTCAAATGAATGTTCGTTCCATACCTCCAGGAGCCGGTGAAAGAGAACGTCTAACTCTATGTCGTGGAGCCTTCAAGCCCGGCTCCCCTTTGTAATCAAGGTCTGAACCACTCGTAGGTTCGGGCGTCGCAGGTGCAGCGAGTTCTATACCTGAGTCGTTCGAAATGGCAAGGCTAGGAGGAACAAAATCTAGCACCGGTTTCGACCTAGTCTTAGCCGACTTAGCAACCTTTTTGGCTGCGCTTTGTCCGGATATAGGGATTGGAGGGGGCATAGCCCTCGGTGCCGAGGGAAACATGGTCCATATCGTGGGATTGTCGTCTTTAATAATCAGCCATGTATGAAGCTGGGCCTTGGATGCTGTCGATCGCTCCTGTGGGTTTGTCCTTAAAAGATTAGCCATAAAACCAACGGCCAGTACTGATAGGCTCGACGCCTCTAAGGTGTTTGGCGGGAACGTCCCAAGACCCTGCACAAAGTTCATCAGGTTCCTGGTCTCCGGGAAAGGCACGCGCCCTGTCATCATATAATACACTAGGCATCCCAAAGACCAAAGGTCGACCGCAGTGGTGTATGCACTAGTCAATGACTGCCCAAAGCCCCAAATCTCAGGTGCCATGAAGGGCTTCGTTCCTGTGGTGGTTCGGCCTTGTGTACCGTCAAGGCTTTTGGAGACTCCGAAGTCCGCAATCTTGATTGTAAGGGGTATCCACTTAGCAACGAGAATATTTCCTGGCTTCAAGTCTCGGTGGCATATATTCTTGTCATGCATTATTTCCAAACCCGCCAGAACTTGCTTTGTCACCATCTTAGTTTCATTTTCGGATAGACTGTGCTCCTTCATCAATGCGCCCAAATCGCCGGGAAGGTACTCCATCGCCAAATAGATATAGTCACTGTCGTTGAACCACCCCAATAATTGAACAAAATACTCGGGATACTAGTAGGCAACCAGTACGGTTAGTTGATCGCTGCTAGAAATACGTAGAGTGGCAGTGAATAATTACCGCGCGGAGCTGAGTCAAGATATCGAGCTCATTTGGCTTGGCTAACCTTATGTGAATCCTTTTCACAGCCCGCACGGTTTTCGTCTCCGCGCATACTTCTTTGTACACGGTTCCAAACGTGCCGGACCCAAGCGTGTCCACTCTGGCCCAGGTTTCAACTCTCAACGGTTGTCCGGGGTCCAAATAAGTATGCCTGTAATTAAAGGTTGATCCATCGAGAAACTCAGTCGTCAATCTCTGTTGCCCGAAATTCTCGAAATTATGCTGCGACATCTTGTCTTTAATGATATGTATCGATGATTCAAATATCGTGCGGGGAACAATATGCCTGTACGTTAGCGCTGCCGATCCCGATGCCCTTAATTGGTTAGCTGATTGCAGATCTGTGTAACAGGATGAAAAATGTAATCAAAAGACTCACGACTGAGCTCATTTCATATTTTAATATCACAATATGAATTACGGAATAGAGGAAATATTCTACATCTCAAGCCAATATTTAGGCGTGTATTGCTTATGGTGCCGGGCGCCACAGCCCAGTGCCTCGCGCATTTAAGCGGCTAAGGTCGGCAAGTCCGCTTTTTCAAGCCCGGACCTTGGCGCCAAGGCTCGTGCATGCCTTGTGACACGATGTGGCTACGTGATATTCCAACAACTCGATATGTCGGATCTCAATACACCGCATCCCTTGCTATCCCGTACGAAATCCACTGGGGTTTTGGTTTTTTTTTACTGCAAAATCTTTTGCTATCCCGGATTTTTTGCTATGCCGTATGAAATCCTTCGAAGCTTGGCAATTCGGCATATTGAGTTCCGACTATATGCCAGGGCCGGGACACAGTGGTAGTCTCGAACATGTGGAAATATGTTAGGCCCGGAGCGGACAGAGTCCTACCACGATGGCTATAAACGATGAGTGATTCCTGTGCAAATATAAAAAAGCCCCACGGAAAGTCTAATTGCCTTACGGAGGTCTCGTATTTAACTCTACTCAACTCTTCCGAAACCAGATAACACCCTTTGAACGAGGGCCGCTGAAACACCCGCGATGCGGGGCAAAAACATAGCATCCAGGAGTGTCACCTCGAGTTAGAATTACTGTGACCGATAGTTATCCACTTTCAAAAGGGACCTGAGCAGTAAAGATGTTTGTTAGCGCTCATGTTTGCAATATTTGCAGGATACTCTAGAGTGGGGGACAGATCCCCATTCTCGAGACGTGGAGAAATGCATAACTTGAATCTTGGTCGCGCCCTCGTATCTTGATGGCTCTCACCGATCAGCCACCCAACGGTACAGCGCATGGTGCAGCGCACGTAAGACCTACAATCACCACAACGCTCCGGGGGGAAATTGGAAGGAGAAGGATGAATTTGCAAACTTTATTCGAGTCTTGAGCCTTAGAGGGAAAGAGTTAGAGAGGAAAAGAGAGGAGAAGAGGCTCTCTCCTGTCGTTCCGATTTATCCTCCTCGCTTAGTGCCACCTATTATACAAAATATCGTCGTGCTGACGCTCAGGATATGTTGCCACCTGCTACTGTTCTTCTAGCCTCTCCGTTCAGCTAATGTGTTGGCGCCAAGGAGTCGAGAGTGCCATTCTTCAAGGGAAGGGACACGGTAATAGACCTGGTCACATACAATAGGCTGCCAGATCCGCAGAACGCCCACTGGCAGCACAAACCGGCGTTTGCGGACGGCGGGTATGCCCCGAGGTGTAGAAAAAAAATTTACTTTAGCTTTGATAGCCAGTAGCCTTGGATTGTGTAACCAACCAGGGTATGTCCAACTACAGCGCACTTCAGCTCTTGGGTAAAAATCATCAATTTCAACGTTAACAGTGATTTGGTGAATCGATTTCCGATCAAGGCACGGAGCATGCGCAGGAACATTTACCCCGTCGCGCCGGGAAATAAGAGTTCGTGGTCAATGTACAAGGTGGGTGTTTCAATAATTATCTTGTTTACTATAGGTACCGTACGTACTATGTATGTATTTAGTCCCGACCATAAATGGACCTCTTTGTTTGCATATTTGATACCCTAGTTATCCTGGCCTGGGCGCACGCACCTGCCAAGCCCGCCAAGCCTGCTGGCAGGGTATCGAATGAAGTCATGAAATATCACTCAGATTCTTGATTTCTCGTAATCAGGCTGACGTGTCAATTGATGTAGCCCCTTATATATGTGACCGTCACTCCTTGACCAAAGCAGGTCTACTACCTCTTGTTGCCTACTTGCTGTCGAGAACTCCTCTACTCAACGAGCTTCCATAAAGCGCCATTTACATTGAAAGTCGGATCTAAAACCTATTTGTAGCTGCATTACAAAACGGTGGGCTCGAGGTTACTACCAGTCCTTCTTGGCTCAGTCTATCATGATGGGCCGCAGGGATGACGTTGGAATCTTTCTCCCAGTCGCTTAGGGCCTGATACATCGTCAGAGCTTCTTAATAGCATAGCTGTCGCAACTGGGCAATACACTCCCGGTTTCGTCCAAGATACATGCACGCCATGAGGGACAACAAGCGCGGCCACAACCGGCACCTGGTTAAGCAGCCTAACCTGATTATCGGAGTCTTGCATTGCCAGATTCGAGGTCTCCATGCATCACTGCCTCCGTCGTTGTGTTCTCTTCACCAGCGTTCCACCTCCCCCGCGGGGTGGAAGAGAAGGCCAAATCAGCAGCATAGAATTTTTAATTTGGCATTTAGTAACCGAGCACCCGCGGCATGGAAAAAATAGGCAGCAGAATTGGAATCATAGGCCTACTCATCTATCTGATTCTCACTTCAACGCTCAAACCTAACCCATGACAAGCCTAGTACTCTAGTACTTGCAGGGGGCCCGGGGACCGTAGGTTTGTGAGATAGGAACGCTGCCATATTGCTGGTTTTTTCTCCTGTCAAGATGATGTGGACGCTAATGATGGTGTTTGATGCGGGGCTCTCTAAACAGCAGGTATGGCGCGCGCAGCGGGCCGAGAGAGGGAGAGAGAGAGAGAGGGGGGGGATCTCTTACGTAAGCAACTGTCTTTGAGTAGATAAGCCATGAGATATATGGTCAGTACGCGTCCCCGACGATGAGACCTGATGAGACCTCCATGTACTCGGAGCTAGTGACATGATGTGGGATGAAATAACTTCAAGGTAGATTCATTGGGGCCCAAAGTGCTCTAATCCATATATATGGGAAGGTTGACATTTGAGTAATTAATATTCCAATACGGCCCGTCATTATAAACCTCGTTGGGAAAATTCCAAATATCTCCCAGGGATAACAGGTTTAACCAGGGTCATGATAGAATTAACGAATTATCAATCAATCAATAAAGCCGGGTTATGAATTTCTAAGGTTTCCAACAAGAAATATCTCAACCCATACATTACTCCCCCCCCCTTCTGCCGATATATGATAACACTAAGTAAACCTGACAATTTACATGTATCCTTCTGTTAGGTGACCGACAACAAATCAAACGCGCTCAAAGGCCAATTCCTTTTGGAAGAGATCTAGACTACAATCATTGTGGAGAAGATGAGTTCAGGAGATATTTGGTTAGACTGACTACATGACCCTAGTAAATCAGTAGTATTCGGACACCTCACTCGTTTTCATACCTCCCCACATGCTCAATTATCTCATTGACTCGAATCATCTAAAATAGCACAACATAATCCCCCCAAGGAATAGACTTAAAAGAACCTTTTGGCAAACTACTCAAGCTTAGTAAGGACTCCACAAATAGGTATACCCGGGCCAGGAGTGTTAGAAAAATCAGACCAGAAAGCGCTAATAACAGCATCGTATAGGTACCCTCACCACTACCCCATCTTTTATTGATGCGGATAGTAGCAGTGGTTATAAGGCTTGGTAGCGCTGCTCCTGCCACTGAGGCAAGTCGCCATAGGTCTCGCTCACACTCTGTATGGAAATGTGTGTTCTCTGCGGTTGCATGAAATAAACCATATAGCATCGGAATAATGACTGCGGGAGCGCAGTTATTGAATTTCAGATTATTAATGGATAGAGATAGGGCTGGGGCCCTGTTGTATGGATCCAATACGGATGAAATTCTATCAGGGCCTGGAGTGGCGGTCTACCGACCCGAAGGATAAATACTGGAGGCTTTCATAAGCAGAGTAAGGTCGTCCTTTTCAAGATCGGGTTGTATCTTTGATGCCTCAAGCTCTATCACACGACCGATACTCGAGGTGCAGTGCCTTGGGACCACTAAGTCTGGGGTACCGGGGGATCGTGTTCCTTCAGCAGATCACATGAGCGATAGAGATACCAGCCTCTCTATCCTCAAGGTGCCCCCCGTTGCATCACCCAAAGCTACTCGTTGAAATGGGGTGGAAACTGGCTCGACCTTCCTCTCCGCAACTGCATAAATATGAGCCTGTAAAGCAGCTTTTTATGTCGACAATCGGCCCTAGGCCCTCTGCGGCAAATATTGACTTCCGGAGCCTACACCCGCGTTTGCCAAATATAACAGCGTGCATAATTGCCGTGTCCACGTCATGACATAAGTGAAGTGGTTCCCGGACGTCCAGAGGCTTGTACCACCAATAGGCGTAGGTGATGATTGTGATTACCACATGCAAGACCACACGGAACTCCAAGAGCGTTATTGGAAGCCCACTCGCCTTTCTCAACATGCATCGTATTAGTGTACACATTGTGTGAGCAAACACCATGGCCTTACCGAGGCTCTCAACCTTGCTTTTGTCCATGATCACGCGCTTCCTTATTGAGTCCTTCGGGGCTTGAGCTACCCTAGTACAATAGAGAAAGCCCTTGTACATAACAACACAACGGAAGCTTCCAAAGAGCTCCTTTGGTCCCAGAGAAAAGCCACCCATGCCGATAAAGAAGGCTCCTTGCATACCAAGGCTATCATCATGATCACCAGCCTTGACACTGTGCAGACTGCACCAGCGGTATCAAAAGCTCCGTGCATATCTCCATGCTGATATGGCGATCGCAAGCATGACTTTGGGCGCAATCATACCGATAACAACGAATCTAAACTTGCGCAGGATGACTTGAAACGGGTAGCATTATGGGGTAAGTTGATATGGAGGGCTGTGTAGACGCAAAGAGCCAGGGTGATCATGGAGCTGGAGACGATAGAGATGGTGCCACGTCCCTTCGGCTCGGGCCCCCATGAGGTCTCTGCGCTCGGTGTTGATAAGGGTGATTCGGGATGGGTGATGCGTCTATTAGTGATAGAGTAGGAAGGAGGAGGGCGGATAGAATGATAGGTAATGCCATG